TTGTATCTAGATTAGATATAGATGAGATTAGATCAACTAATCTACAGTGTCCATGAACCATTCTGTACATAGAACTTGTAGGTGTGTTCACTATTTGTTCAACAACTACCCCATTAGGCAGCTGACTCATAATTAGTTTATGGCATCACTTTAGATTTATTATCTAATTGTTTGTACATATAGTGTTCTCCCTGTGTATATAAACCCCCAGGTAGAATGCTCAATGACAGGGCTTCTCTCTCTCTCATCCTTGTCTTAGCATCTTCACAGACATATAAGACAACTCTTAAGCCTTCTTACTTGCCTTGTGTCTAGTCAACACAGGTAAGGTTTTTGCATATTTATATTTCAACAGTGAGTCTGTGCAAATTTCATAGACACACTGTATGAGTGTATGCATGTTGAATGCACCTGCACAGACCTCAATCTGCAACAATGGGTGGCCTGACTGGCAGGGTGTCTTCTCAACTGTTTGGGGTGTATTTGACTACAACAGACTATGAAAGTTGCACCAGAAATGTCACAGATATTACACTATCTAAGAGGGGTTAACTGTTGGTAAGTACCACCACATACATGTTTGAGATTGCTATTCCTATAAATATAGATTGGAGAGGATTGAAGACTGCCTCAACTAAGCCAGACATTGTTAAAAGCAGGTTTGACAAGCAGCAAAGGAAATGGAGATATACAATGGCACCACAGTAGAGTTATCACTGACTGCAGCATTCACATTGAATCTCTCCTGCCTATGGCTTCATTAGTATGAGAATCAAATCATAGAGGTAGATGGAATAATCATGTGGAACAAGACGTAGGTGTTGCCTCTGAAAGTGGATCACTTGCAACGGTCGGAGTGCATGATGGCTCATTCCCGATGTTTACCATCCAGTGTGATCTTACGTGTTTACGGACATTCAGCCTGTGTGTAAAGATCGGTGTAAGGTCGATGCAAAGCGCACATGGATCTTACGTTATAAGGAGACTGTTGCAATAAACTGTGTGCGCACACCTGATTAGAAAGTGTACTTCGATCAAAAAAATCATGGTGCATACCCGAGCTCTGTGGAAGATAAAGTATCTCTACGATGACGGTATCCTTGAGATCACTAATAGTTGAACCCGCTGAACTTCGTACTCCGTAGATAAACTGACGTGTCTGCTATGATTATTCAATTTAGTGTCAAAGATCTGCTGCACCTACCATGCCAAGAAGAGTAACTTGTAAAATACTTAAAGCCATGTTCTTAAACTAATGGTTTAGTAGGCCAGAAATTTGTACTAACCAAAGGATAATCCCACGATTGACAGTGTAAACAGTGAGCCTCGAGAGGAGACCCCCCGTGCTTGGTTTTTGCGTCATCAGCTTGTTTCAGTAGGGCTATCTTTCTCAGTCTGGCTTACATTTTATGTCCTGTTCTCGAGCGGTGGAAACTCCATGATAAAATCACAGCAACGTAGATATCGACCACAAGTGGAGTAACTGTTTGAAGAACTCCCAAGGACTGATCAGGCAATTAGCAAGAAGAATCTGTGATTGCATCGTAGAACGTACACCAACACGCCCTAAAGCGCTGCTGACGTCTGGTTTAGCATATCTGTAATTCATTGTCAGTATGAAGCATGGATAGTCTCATCACCATCGACACGTACAATTCATATACTATGGCTATTCCAGCATTTGCATCAATTGAGAGCATTCAATGAGCATACATTCAGGCCACTTGCCTATGTTACTTGCTTTCAACAAGTAGTCGAGTTAGTTCAGTCCATAGGCATAACACACAACATACCAAGGGAGACTAATGAAAGTAGCATTCCGATCACTACCAGATGTGCCCGATACCATGTTTCTGTTCCGGGAACTTGAGGCTTGACTAGTCAATCGGGTGGTATCTAAAATGGAATAGAAACATACGGGTATAGATGTTATGAAGATAAAATTAATAATTAAAAGTTCATCATTGGATCATTGCCAGGGAGTCAAACTTCAAACCTCAAACATACCCTTGGACGAACACCACTGTGAGATACTTCAATCCATTCTGTAAATTTACGCACTAAACCAGAAGGGCACAAAACATACTCCAAGTATATTCTGGACCTAAAAATAACATAACAAGGATAAGTATGACAATTGCACACAAGTCAGCTTGATACGTACACCAACCCATCTACAAATCAATCAGCATGAGATCTCTTGCCTATTACATGTCCATCTGAACAGAGCATGTAGATATGCCACTTACACTGTGATAGCAGATAGGCCAATTACATCCCCGTGATTCTGGATTAGATAGAACCAGAACATCTACTCCGAAGTCAATGCATCAAACATATATTGTCATGTGTCTAGACATACCTCCCCATCCCCAAACGCCTTTGCAGTATCAAGAAGGCTGGTGCAACAATTTATTTTTACATTCAATTGAGATAATATCAGACGAACAATAGACCTGCGACCTGTGAGAGGAGATTCTAGTAAACAAATACTCTCAAAGTCACTCGAATGGCATACCAAAAATTTTATTGAGAGCCGATCTTGAGAGTAGTTCCGTAGGTAATATATAGTCTGCCCAATAGTGCCTCCGTATATGCTACGCATTACATTGTCAGTTACTACTCAGAAAAGAATTATGACAGTCACCATTGACGTACAGGAAGAAGAAAAGCATTCCAATGAATATAGGGCCTACTATGATGTTGACAATATCAATGATGGGGTCAGCCATGTTGGTCCAGATGCGTGAGAATGAAAGTGAGAGTCTGAAAATCTCAGGCGAGCATAGACAGCGAGTGCTAGATTTTATGCCACTCGCAATCCTGTGATCAAAGTCATCGCCTCGGAAGACACCCAGGTAAGCAATGTCCGAGCCAATTCATGTCTGAGGAGCCCAGACCACAATATAGTCATAAATAGTCATCTTGTTCATCACCATCACACAACTCTAACCACGTACGGAGGAGATATGCCGCCATTTAAAAGCGCTTGCAGTATCAATGGTCAAATGTATCTCTTCCTTGGCACCATCCCTGAATATGTGGATACCATGAATATACTTCCATCTAGCATACGGGCGGTGAGATAGCATAGTGACAACATTTCCTGATCTAAGTCGCGATAAGCTGCAAGTAACGACTTTCTTCAAGGTCACAATTTGCTCGTTCATCGAGCCAGTCAAAAATGTATTGCATTCTGATCAGAGAAGAGAATAATTAACATACCCCGGATTTGTAATGGCAGAGAATGTGCCTTTAAACAAACAAATACAAGTCCCTAAATGTCGTTCGTAGCACAGTTCAATAACACCAAGTACAGCCTCGCTTCGAGTACGTACTTATGATAATCTGTCAAAGGGACCAAGACGCATCAGCATCTGCTCGGATCGAAATGGTGGCAAAAAAACTTACGAATTCGTTCCATTCAAGACAGTTGACTGTCACATATACCTGTAGGCTAAGCTTGAGTATTCAGCAAATCAGTTCGGTCATTTTTTAAGACTAAGACTCAAGTTATCTCTACATACGCGGTCCGCGCACATAGCCAACCACTCGATAGCCTTGACGATAGCCGACTAGTCAACAAATCCCATTGTAGAGCAGCAAGATGAATAGAAAATGCGACTCATACTTGAAGTCTAGAGTCAGAAGGCCTGCCAGTGTGCGGGCAAGGGTCGTTCGTTGTGGGGGGAAGATATATTAGCAAAGGGCAAGTCACATGATGCTCGACCCGATATAGAGGCCTACGCATGCTACCACCAAATACTACCGCACTACACATCATGTATCATACCTACTCAGTCCGCCGTGAAAGCCATCTAGAGAGCCAGAATATCTACGAGACCCCCGTCCGACACCGGCTGGCATAATAGCTGCCACCCACGCCCGCATTACTTGGGACGGACCGCGTCGCGCAAGGCCAGCAGCCGGTCGTCCGTGCAGTCCACAAGAACATAGGTCTCGTCCTACTCCAGGCAACACAATCGACACACACGACACTCGTGAAATCCAAGGGGAAACACCCTTCGCAGTTACTCGACAGCAACGGGGTAATCACCGTATAGGAGCCGGGTCAGCGCACGCCGGTCGTCGTCGTCGTCGATCCGAAGGTATTGGCGGAATTATAACGGTTTGGCAAGAGAGTGGCTGCGGCTGGGAACGCACACTCGTCGCCCTGCCAGGAACGGGACGTGCACTGTGGCAAGTACAGTGTCATGATCCTATGTCTCTACGGCTCGCTCAATCGCCGCCACCAGCACACTGACCGACGCAGTCGTCAAGGGTAGCCGCAGATCGAAGGCCACAGGGACGGGCAGGTGCGTCAATATATGCTGCAGGTCGCCGGGCTACGAGGGTTGACCCGTCAGAGCCAGCAAGCGTACCTCCGCGAGGACCGCGTTCGGGAGGGGGGTCATCTGTCCAGGACACACAGAAGGTACCGCAGGGGGGCAGATCACCGTCCCGGAGTAGGGGACAGCCAGCGGGGACCGTGTGTTGAGGCCCAGGCAGCAGTGATAAGAGGTTTGCACCGCAACCAGGTCGTCCGTCGCGGCCACGCGCGCATCCAGGGCAACCTCGCAGACCGCAGTGAGATGTGGGCCCACAAGTGCAGATTACAGCTTGCGTAAGACAAGTGGCAGGCAACACCCCGACGTAGGACTCCACAGATAGAGCAATATTCACCAGTCGACGAGTAAGAAATCTGCAGCGCTTCCTACAGCATTTGACGTCCGAAGATGCATTTCCTGAGGAAGAGGTCGATGATGAACAATAAAACAATACGTCTGAGGATCATCAATTAGGATCTCTAGACGCACGACAAGCCAGTCGGAGAGGTCGTCCCCTGCACGTACAACGTACCGGATCCGCACGTATGGCATCCGGAGCCGGTCAAGGAGGGATCCGGCGAAATCCATGCCGCTCAACTTCGCCCACAGTGCGGCCCGGCCGACAAAGGGGAAGGCGTTGGACAAGTCGACAAAGGTGACGTAAAGCGGGCGGCGTGCTGCACGAACCTTCTCAATTGCACAGCGCAGCACGAACGCGTTGCTGGAAGACCTCTTCGACTAAGCCAGATATATTTAAAGGAAGGGGTTGACAACGGTGAGAGAAATGAGGTATACAACGGCGTCACGGTAGAGTTATCACTGACTGCGGCATTTACATCAAATCTCTCCTACATATATGGCTTAATCGGTATGAGGATCAAATCATAGAGGTAGATTGTATGGTCATGTAGGACAGGAGATAGGTGTCGCCTCTGAAGATGGATCACTTGGAATGGTCTGAATGCACGATAGCTCATTCCCGATGTTTACCGTCCAGCATGATCGTATGTGTCTGCGGACATTCAGCCTGTGTGTAAAGGATCGGTGTAAGGTAGATGCGAAGAGCACATAGACTTTACGTTATAAGGAGACTGTTGCAATAAACTGTGTGGTCGCGCCAACTCAGAAAGCGCAATTCAATCCGAAAAATCATGGCGCGTACCTGAGCTCTGTGGAAAATAAAGTATGTCTAAGATGACGGCATCCTTGGAAGTATCACCAGCTGAATCTGGTGCTTTGTAGAAATACTGATGCGTCTGCTATGATTCTTCAATTTATTGTCAAAGATCTGTCGCACCCACCATGCCAAGAAGAGTAACTTGTAAAATACTTAAAGCCATGTTCTTAAACTAATGGTTTAGTAGGCCAGAAATTTGTACTAACCAAAGGATAATCCCACGATTGACAGTGTAAACAGTGAGCCTCGAGAGGAGACTCCCCGTGCTTGGTTTTTGCGTCATCAGCTTGTTTGGTAAGTTTGTCTTTCTCAGGGTGGCTTACGTTTGATGTCCTGTTTTTGAGCGGCGAAAACTCCATGATAAAATCACGGCAATGTATGTGTCGGCCACAAGTATAGTAATTGCTTGAACAAGTGCCGTGGGCTGATCAGGCTATTAGCAAAAGCTATCTGTAAGTGCATCCTAAAACGTACATCGATATGCTTTAAAGCGCCAGGGATATCTGTGCTGGTATATCTGCAATTCGTTTTTAGTATCCATGAAGCATGGATGATTTCATCACCATCGACACGTACAATTCATATACTACGGCTATTCCAGCATTTGCATCAATTGAGAACATTCAATGAGCATGTATTCAGATCACTCACCCATTGCACTTGCTTTCAACCAGAACCAGTAATCAGGTCAGTTCAGTCCATAGGTGTAATGCACAACGTACTGAAGGCAACTAACGAAAGGAGGATTCCGATCGCTGTCAGATATGCCCGATACCATGTCTGTGTTCCGAGAACTTGAGGCTTGATTAGTCAACCGAGTGATATAAAAAGTAAACATACGGGCATAGATGTTATAAAGATAAAATCTAATCATTATAAGCATCATTGAATCATTTCCAGGTCAAACTTCAAGCCTCAAATATACCCTTGGACAACTAGCACTGTGGAATACTTCATGTAATCCACTGTATCAATTTATGCACTAAACTGGAAGGGCGAAAAACATACTGCAAGTACATTCTGGACCTTGAAAGAACATAGAAGGATAAGTTTGTCGATTGTACATAAGTTGGCTTGACACACGTACACCAATCAATCTACAATCGATCAGCATTCCCATTATATGTCTACCTGAACGGGGCATTAAGATATGCCACTTACCTTGCCATAGCAGATAGCCCAGTTTCATTTCCGTGATTCTGGACCAGATAGGACCAGAGCACCTACTCCGAAATCAATGCATTGAACATATATTATAATGCCTCTAGACACACCTGCCCATCCACAAATGCCTTTGCAGTATCAAGAAGGCTGGTGTAACAGTTTGTTTATACAATCAATCAGAATAATGTCAGACGAACAATAGACCTGCGACCTGTGAGAAGACATTCTAGTAAATAAACTTCATTTGTGTTCTCAAAGTCACTCAAACGTCGTACCAAAAATCTTAATGAAAGGCGATCTTCAGAGTAGTTCCGTAGGTAATATATAGTCTGCCCAATAGTGCCTCCGTATATGCTACGCATTATATTGTCAGCGACCACTTATAAAAGAATCATGTCGGACAGTCACTAATGACGTACGGGAAGAAGAAAAGCATTCCAATGAATAAAGGGCCTAGTACGATGCCGAAATTAACAATGCTGGAGTCAGCCATGTTGGTCCAGATGCGTGAGAATGAAAGTGAGAGGCAGGAAATCTCAGGCGAGCATAAATAGCAAGGAGTGCTGAATTTTATGTCACTCGCAAGCCTGTGATCAAAGTCATCGCCTCGGAAGATACCCGGGTGAATGATATTCTTGCCAATTCATGTCTGAGGACTCCACGCCACAATGTAGTCATCTTGTCCATCATAACTCTCGAGGAAATATGTATGCTGTCATTCAAAAGTGCTTGCCGAATCAATGGTCAAATCTATCCCTTTCTTAATACCATCCCAGAATACGTGGATACCATGAATATAATCACCTCTAGCATACGGGCGGTGAGATAGCATAATGACAACGTTTCCTGATACTAGTCGCAATCAGCTGTGAGCGACGACTTCGTTCACTGATCCAGTCAACAACATACCGCATTCTGGTAAATCAGAGAAGAGAATGATCAAGGTATTTAGTATTTGTAATGACAGATATGTGACACAAGTCAGACAAAAATAAGTTCCTAGACATTGGCCGGAAGGCACTTCGATGATATCAAGTACAGCCTCGTTTCGAGTACATATCTATGATAATCTGTCAAAGGGGCCAAGACGCATCAGCATCTTCTCGGGCTGAGATGGAGGCAGAAATTGCTAGCGAACTCGTTTGATTCGAGATAATTGACTGTCAAACACATCTGTAGGCTCAGGAAGTCCATCGCAGGGGTCGTTCGTCGTGGGAATAGCCACGCGCATACTTTAGCAGGAATTAGCGCTAGCTGTCTAAAGCTGAGACTCAGAGCGACTCTACAGACATTGACCGGCGCAGGTTCCTGGCGTTCTGAGCTCTTTGTTTCTCCACTCGGACTACTGGTGCACGAACATACTCTCCAACCTCAATTGCCCTGAACGGTCGCCATTTCCATTCTGACAGCAGTCGGTCCTCACGCGATGTCTAGAGGTCTGAGTCGCGTACTTTCTCCTCGCCAGCTAGCGAGGCTGCAATGGCACAGTGCGACTGCAGGTACGTATGGACTATGAGTCTCGTTACTCTGCTAACATGATGTACAGGGCAACGTTTGCAGCTGCGTTTCGCGTCAAATATGCAGCAGTCACCCCGACCATCTGGACATGCCCATCCACCACCACCGGCCACGCCCCGCCAAAATGACCCGTCAGGGTCTGCTTCTGACTTCACTGGTCTCCAAGCGCACCTCGACACGGTGTTCTCGCCACTCAAGTTCCCTCCCGAGCTCGCCGCCCGCATCCTGACGCATGCTAGCCATCCTGATGCCCTACAGCGACACAACGCACGACTCAGTTTTATAGGTATGTTTTGGCTCCCTCCACACTCACATTCTCCCAGTGTTCAAATCTCGTTCGCTGCCCAGGTCGACGCGTTCTACAGTCCTACCTCATGCTTTTCCTGCACAGCTCGCCCGAACTCGACCCGTCACAAGACTACACGCTCATAACAGAGCGTGCCTTGAACACGTACATCCTCGGCGAGTACGTCGCGCCGCGGTGGTCCCTCGGGAAGGTGCTCAGGTGGGTGCCCGTCAACATTGGGCCGCTCAAGGCCGGCATGGTGGAGAAGGAGGGCGTCGCGAGCGTCGTCGAGCGTCTCAGCCCGTCCGCCGGGCACAGCATCGGCCTGTATAAGGTGCAGGGCGGCGCCGTCGAGGCCCTTGTAGGCGGTGTCTTCCACCAATTTGTACGTGTCCCTGGCTGTTCGGCGGCGCCTGACCACACTGACTCCGCTCCGCGCAGGGCGGCAATGTCGCGCATCGGCTGTTCCACACGCGCGTGCTTCCTCACATTCTCCTGCCAGGGTCGCCTGATGGTCTGCGTGATGCATTCCACCCACATGCTATGCAAATTTGCGAGAGCATGGGCGGGCTCAATGGCGACCTCTTGGGTACCTTCAAAACGGGCTCGGAATCATCTTGATTATGCTATGTCACGTCGTAATATCGTTCATAATGTTATAGATGCAAAAATACAGCACACTGGCAATATGAGAGCACGCGCTCATTGCTGAGGACCTCTGTCACCATTCAGTACCCAAGTCAAAGCCATTCGATCTTCCCAATTGCAGACTTTATGGCCGGAAATCTCCTTCCAAATGCAGACTCGAGACCGAGTTGAACGCATCATATAATATCAACATTGGATAGGTACAGACGGCGGCATGTGGGAGAACAAAACGATAGCTAGAGAACAAATCGACTAAGCATTTTAGACAACGGCCTGATCGTTCTGACCATTGCGACAGCTCCGGGCACTTGCAACAGACGAGTAAAGAGCAGAGAGCATATGTACGGAAGAAAAGAGAGCATATAGGGATGTCTACGAAATCGCACAGCATGGACATAATGTACAAAGGGGGTAGAGGGAGTAAAACAAGGTGGCTCCCGATTATCTTACTGCCGCATATACGCCTGAGGGGCCGCTGGCTGAGGAACCGGTGCGGGCAGCTCGTGCTGCATGAACGACTGCCACGTCTCCTGCAAGCTGTACGTGTGCTGCACAGGCAGTATCGCCGGTGGCCGCGGCTGCGGGGGCAGAGCCATCATCTGCGGATAGTGTTGCTCCTGGGGCTGCTGTTGATACTGGACATGCATCTGGCTCATGCTCGGATGCCTGCTGAGGCTCGGGACAGGTCGGTACTGGGTCTGCTGTGGTACGGCTTGGGCAGATTGCACAGGCTGCATTGGTGGCATGGATTGTATGGGCTGCACCGGCTGTGTAGACTGCACATTGTTGTGGTAGTCGGGTTGGTAGTTATGATACATCGGCTCGTCGGATGGCACTGGTGCCTGCGCGGACGGCGGGACGCGCCAGAGCTCCGAGCGCGGGGGCTGTTGGTGGGTGGCGTATCCCGGATGGGTGTCGGACGCAGCAGGCGCAGGGACGCCATGCGAGTAGTACTGTTGCTCGGTGGTGGTGTGGGGAGGGTCGTATGCAGGATAGCCGTGCGCCGGATCAGGATGAGCCTGCTGCTGGAATTGCTGTGAGTTAACCGGAACGAGCTGCGAGGCGGGGTGCGCCTGGTGCACGACCTGCGGCGGAGGCGGAGGGGGCGGCATAGACTCATGCGCAGGAGTGTTGTACCACTGCTCATGTTGTGGGCTATCATACTGCGGCGGACTTTGATACTGCTGGTGTTGGCGTTGTTGTTCGTGCTGTATTTGCTGCTGCTGCTCCTGGATCTGCTGCTGATGGTACTCGCTCGGCTTCTGGCTCATATAGTACGTGCTCATGCTGCTGATTTGTGCATCGAGCTCGCCGTTAAACGCGTGCATCTGATCAACGAGCATCGGATGCACCGAGTTACCATACGACTCCAGCGCGGGGAATGTCTCCCCTGCCGTGATTGTAGGAGACTCTGAGCTGCGCCCTGAGCCAGAACCCGTGGTAGATTCGGGCGAGGTGGGCGTAGTCGACGATGCACTTGCCTCTGTAGGCCGCCGGCGCGAAGCAGAGCGGGCGCGCAAAGGCTTATTCGACCTTGTAGCGACTGTACGCGTGCGCCCACTGAAGATAGAGAGCTCGTCAGGCACAGTGCCGGCCGCTCGCGACGTGAAGATATCTTGCACAGGCCGCCCCTGTGTATATGTATGATATGCCTTGTCATACAGACGTCGAATAATGGGCTGCATCGACAAAGATTGATGGCAAATATCGACGCAAAATGAAAGGGCGCACCAAAAACTTCACGGCGCGTCCACCTAACTGGGCGGCCTTATCAAACAACTCGCGCGCGAGGCCAAGCTCTCCCAGTGCCGCTTGGGCCGTTTTGGTGGTACCACCGTGCGTGACAACCGAGGCTAGCATCACCGCCGACGAGAAACCATGCGTCCATAGCACCCAGAATCTTGCAATTTGCACCGGGAACATATTGAATTGTTCGCGGATGCTCCCCAGCAGTGCACATGCACTGCGATATCCGGCGAGGAAGGAAGGCGCATACTGGCTTCGAAGGGGGTCCATCGGGTGGTCCTGGAGCGCTTGCGCGAAGAAACATCGATGAACATATAGCAATGCTGGATGAACACCGATGCAACATATCGTCAGCTACCCTACATCATGTTCATACAACAGGAGAACAGTAGACTCACTCAGATGGAGGTAATTGATGGGCATGAAATGCGACATCGTTTGCGAAAGTCCTGCACCTTGGGGTGGCTGTCCCTGCGCATACTTCGGCATCGTCATATCCCGCAATTTCCGATCGAGCTCAAGAATAACAGTATACTTCGGCGCACGCGACGTGAGTGTGCCTTGAACAACCTCTGCGACACACTCTTTACCCCACCGTGCCTTCCAAGCGGGGACTGAGACATCCGTCTTCAGCAACTAAACAATACTCGGCATACGACATACGTACAGCTCGGTTGCGGGGTGCCGTCGTCCGCCATGGTCTCGTTGGGGTCTGCAGGAAGCTCCGTGTCCACGAATGGAAGCGAGAAGGTCGGGAGGCGACCCGTAGCAAGTGCCTGGATGTCATCAGCACCGCACTACTAGCAATGGATAGCGCATATACTCACTTGCCAGCAGTCAGTAATGAACAATTCCCAGAAGAGTGCGCGCCGTTTTTGCACCTCCGCGGGAGCGAGTTTCCAACGTGCACAGTCTCGATCTGAATGCAGACATCAGCAGCACGATCGCGGATAGATCAGGTGGCCAGCACTAACGCAAACCAATCTGTAGATGACATATCATTTCGATCATCAGAGTGCGGAAATATCGGAAGATCGCTTGGTATGCTTACACTTTGCGCTAGCTTTGAGCTCAGTCCCATTAGAGCCCACGTACTCTCGATACTGTTCTCGTCTGCCACCAAGCCCTATAAACACACAGCACATCACTCAGCTACCCCACACCTTCCCATATGCGCACATACCTGGTAGATCGCCATAAGACTCAAGGTTTGCACCGTTACAACACTGGGTGGGCGTTCTAACACAGGCTCCACATTTAGCGCAGCCCTCGTCAGCTGGAAATATCGCTCCGCCTCCTGATTATGTGGTGCCGGTGGAAGCGTCTCATCTGTCAGTGCCCCAAAGCAAAATATTACAAACAACAGTGCAAGATCATGGGACGACCCGCCGCCTGCACGGTTCTGCGGCAAACCAAAGGCAGCCGCAGACGAGGACAGCGCCGCGCCTGCCTCGATGCTGCCACTGCCATTTCCCGCACCGGCATCCCGAAACTCAACAGCGTCGGGATAGAAGAGCGGGAGTACCTCTTCCACAAGTTGCCGGCGCGTTACAGCACCAAAAAACCACGGCGCCTGCTCGAGATAGAGGTCGCACAGCTGCGCGGCACGTGGCCACGGTGGAAGATGCTCTTCTATAAGTTCCTGCATGTCCTCTGCAATCACATTGGATGGTGCGGAGGGGAAGGACGTCGTAAGTCGAGTGAGAGCAGCGGGGAGGTGATTTCGCGAGCCATGCGGGCGCGTGACGAGAGGCGCAGCGTGCGCCGGGGATTCGTCCTGTAAGAGAGCATCGGTAAGAGGAAAGATAGTGTGAAGAGATATCTGCACGCACAAGAAGAAGACTCTGGGGCGAGAAGCAGAAGCAGGGTGAGATAGAAAGCGAGGCACGGAAGAGGGGAAGTAAGCAGACACACCTCCGAACCCGCTGATCTCCCATAGAAGGTGGCTGCACCGTCATCGCGCACAGCGAGCGTGCCAAACGCGTCGATATACTGAGACTCTTCGACCTTTGTCTCGGAGCCTTCATCTGCATCCTCAGCTAGACCAAGCGCGCTTGCGGCAGAATGAAGTTCGAGACCGGACTTGATTTTAAGAAGGTCGCGATTCATGAGGGGATGGGGATCACGAGAGACACTCGAGTGGGTGATGGCAAGTGCGTCCTCGAGTTGGCGGATGCGGTCGCTCATTTCTGCGATTTTGCGGTGGAGGCGATCCGTGTCTGCAAGGATGAATCTAGAGAACAGGTGAGCAATACAAAGAAGGTTGGGATGCTCATACGTGCCTGGTGCCCTGGCCAGTGGTGAGACTGCCATTGGGACATATGGAGGCGCAGCCTCTGCGCTTGCACGACGAACAGGGGACTGTTTTGTCGCACTTGAGCTTGAGACGGCGGCATTCTGCGCAAGATATGGCACCCCTCGCGCGCTTGAACTCCTGGTCCTGTGCTCTGGCAGTGCGTTCCTTGTCGTCCTGGCGGGGACGGGCAGAGGAGGGCATGACGCTGAGCTAGAAGCAGAGAGGGGTCGAGCAGCGCAAGGACAAGAGCGGCTGGCGATGCAGCCTATGCGGCGTGGGACGCACGTCGGGAGTGGATAAGAGAAAAGGAAATAGTGTGCGAGGAGAGGCGAGGACAGAAATGCCAGGGCAGACAGCCAGTCCGATCCATTGCGCACTGTCCACGGCCACGCCCTTCTTATCGACGCCCGGCATCACGTAATCCTCCTCGGCTAGCCCCGCCCGCCCGCTCGCTGCCTCCGTCCTCGGTCCCGCTCGGCCCAAAGTGGTCCCGCGCGTCCTAGCGGACTCCGTCCGTCATTTCCCTTTTGCAGCGCAGTGCACATCCCCGTCGCCCGTCCTCGTGTCGCGCCGCTGATGCCCTGCAGTGGCAGTCTCGCCTCAGGTGCACAGCAGCTTGACAAACGGAAATCTCTTTCCCCCTCCTGCTTCGGAATCAAACTCCACCCGAGCAACCTCGCACACAGGGTACGCCAGAGGTGCGCCTCTTCCTACCTCGGTCCGCCAGTGCGTCCTGCTGAAACTGGCATCGCCGACTGTCCTTTCAGCGGTGCTAGTCGTCGCTCGCACTCCCAGTCAGTGCAAGAAACCGACATCCACGACTTGTGCACCTGCACTAATTCCGTACAACCAATCTCCCTGCGAACTCGGCAGGAGCTAGCTCTTCCCCGCCATCAGTCTGCGCTAACCACTATGGTTGCAACATAACATTACCGGCCCTCACGGCCGCGCTGTATCCTTTTCGGACTTGTCCAGCATCAATTTATGTGGTCAAGTCCGGTGCACGCCGCGCACTCCGATTGACGATGCCCTCGTATGGCCCCCGAAGACGAGATCAATGGCAGGGAAGCCTGTTGGCTATTTTGCCCATGCCTGTCACTCGGAGCTCGGCTCACCGTGAGCACCACAGAAAGTCGAGTCGGAACTGCTTAACGACTCACAAGAAGAAATGTCTCCGCTCTCAGATCGAGATGACACTCTGTTGGTGTTACATATCCACCCCATATCTGATGTATCTGCTACACCTTTCTGTGTATTTGAAACACGCTGTGAGTCAGTGACTCGTGAGTGCGGTATAGATGAGCGGACGGCAAGTCAAAGCACCAAATTGGTGGATTTGGCACCGGCCACATCCTGAGCGCCTCAGGCAATTGATAAATTTCCTATTAGCCTAAAACTCAGCTTCTTGAATGCTCTCTCTGAGAATCTGGGGGACCGGACCGGCAAAATGGCTCAATTGCAATCAACAAGCTAAACAAATGCGGCTCGCCAGCTTGAACTTGACTTGGGGCAGGGAAGGTCCTTGTCACTTGGAAGACCGACCATTCAAAAGCGCGCGCTCACTCAAATTCAGAGGGAGGAAAAGTCACGTGAAGTGCACGATATTCAAACTGTACCGCGCCACCGAATCCAAGCAGTCCTAAACAAAGACCTGTCCCGCTGGCTCAAAGTGGCTGCGCATGCCGACTCTGAAGGTTTGACTAGTTGACTACTCGCCCAAGTTGTTCGCAGTGACGCTCACGTTGCAGCGATGTCGTCTTCTTTGTCGCTATCAATGACTTCGCATGCACTGCGGAAATTTTACTGGTCCACGCAGAACTCTCACTCTCTTTCCTAGTTTCTCCGATCTCTCCGTTGGTAACCCTGCTGAGGACTTTCTGTCATGGAATTGAATTTCGAAATCCGAGTTACACTTATTTTCTGCCGCCGAGTTACTTATGAGCTTGAACGCACACTGTGCGGCTACCTGCTTCTCTGCGGAAGACCTGTCAGCTCGTGCAAGCATTAGTCAAACATGCACATCGGGATACTCTCAACGCCAGATTGGCGTCTTGCAATTGTGGACAGATGACTCCTCCCTCAGTCTGACCTTGACTTTAATGCATGACTCCAAAACCGCCCAGATTAAAGGGCAATTTCTTCGCCCAATCAGATGCTTTCCAAATGTTTCCTCCCATCAATTAATATCTCGGTTGTGAAGGGGCTTCCTTTTCGATTAAGTACAAGACGTTTCCAGCCCAGCCAGAAGGCACCGCTTGTCCAGCCGCTCCGTTATTGACGTCCAGATAAAGAATCGACTCTCACTGCCAGAGCCTCGATGGGAGTCTGCGAATTGGCACGAGATTCAGCCATGGCGCCAGGCGCGTGAGCCATTCATTGTACCCCGTCACGAGTGCTCACTTCCGTCGGACGTTGTTCCTTCGGTCGTCTTCTATCCGTTCAGATCAGGTCTGGCGCCAACATGGCGCCCTCGTCATACGGACGCCATCCCCCGACAATCGACGTTGATCTATCAACACGTGTTGAACACGCCAGGATAAGCCCCCACCACACGCCTTTACAACGCTTCACGATCGCATTCGCGGGAGAGCGCTGTAAAAGCCGCAGGCCGCCCCCGCACGACGTGGCCATGGTTTACGTCGCCCAGACCTTTGTTCTCTTCTGCCTTTGTCGTGTTGACATAATTTGCTACCCGGGCACACAACGTGTCTGCGATGTTTCCCCCGTTCGAAGATGAGGGCCGGTAAGTACCTCTTGCGCTCGCACTGTCCTCAGCATCACCGCGAACCGAACCCCACAGTGACGAGTATCCGTTTCCCCCAATGGATGCGGTCGAGCCGTCATCCTCCTCTAGCGACACGCTGCCGTCCGCGCCCTCGCGCTCCCGCAGCACTCAATCGCGCTCGCAACGCTCCACACAGTCGCCTGCGCCTCGACAGTCTCGCCCACACGCGGCGCATGACCGCGAGCACCTCAGCGGGAGGGCGAAGCTGCTGTCGCGGCTGATCTCGCGCGAGGAGCGCGATGCACAACACTTGCGCGGCGTGCTGCTCACCGCGACGGAGCGGCTCGAGGGCGAGACGCGCCGCGCGGACGAGGCGGAGCGGCGGGCGATTGAGGCACTGACGCGTCTGCGGCAGACGCGCGACGCGATGCAGCTCGCGCAGGCGGACGCAGCACGCGCGAACGAGGAGGTGCGTTTGTATAAGCTCCGGTTGGAGGAGGCGCAACGCGAGATCCTGCGAGCACAAGACATTGTCAACCAGCTGGAGCGGGATAAGGTGGACGCAGAAGCGGAGGCGGCAAGGGCAAGGTCATTGGCGAGGCGGTACAGGGAGGAGAGACTCATTACAAAGGCGCGTGAGGAGGGGAGGAGAGAGGGGTTTCAAGAGGGCCTGTCGAGAGGAAAGGATATGGGATACTATGAAGCAAGGAGAGTTGCTCAGCGGGAGGAGCCTAGGGGATATCCTCGTCGTCCTGTGATGGTGGAGGAGTTCCCGGAGGAAGAGGATGAACAAGAGCGAGGGCAAGATGAAGAAGTTGATGACGATGAAAGTGGCAGTCAGCCCGAGGTGATTGTGCCCATTCCTCGTTCTCCGCCCCAAGGCTCCTGGCGCCCTCCCTCTCGGTATGTCCAAACACAGCTTTCGGGGTCTGAACACGAGCTCAATTGCCATAGCCTCACAGATAGCAGGGCCACTCAACGAAGTCCGCCTAGAGTCCAAGTGAACAATACCTCTACCACTGAGTCAACTATTGCCGCGCCCTCGCCAAGACACCCTTCTTCTCGCCCACCACGAGCAACACCTGAACCCATCCCCGTACCAGATCCTGGCCTCAGTCGCTCGCGCGCTGACATTTCAGCAGGTCCAGTTCCGTCATACAGCACCGTTACCTCTGCATCGCACCCTCCAGTAGACATTCCGCCGGATAACTGGATTCCATACATGGACCGCGGCAACACTATCCTGATGCCGCCCCCACATGAGCTTTCACGACCTGTTTCCCCAAGTTCGCCAAGTCTATCCACCAATCCGACCCTACCCGTCCAACAGCAACGAGCGTCCTCTGGGCAGTCTGGGCAGTCCGTCCGAGCGCGTGACTATGCCTATGCTGCTGGATTTATCCCGGCCCAGGGTGTCCCAGCGACTCGGTCGCACCTAGACGCCCCGTTTTCCCCCCAATCACGGACATCAACTAACATCTCAATCTCGCAGTATGACCTCGTCAGCACGCGCACAGGGCGTGTGGCGGGAGGTCTTCGAAGCGCCGCAGACGCGTTAAACGGCCTCCGCCAAGTGATTAGCACACCAGGGTCGTCCAGGGCTGGAAAGCAGCGCTCAGGAACACCGCAGCAGGAGCCGCCCCCCGCGCAGAAGCAGGGACAGAGAATGGAGCGGGAGGACGTGCGTTTTGTCTGAATTTCATTGTGCTGTGCTGAATATCTAACCCCGTTTAGCGTCGAGTCATGTCGCCTCGCGGACCTCGTCCGAGAGAAGACTTGCCTGTAGACAGCTCTTCTGAGTCTGCTCCGTCTCGCCCAACGACCGCCCGAAGGCAGAGCTCAGGGACCGGCAGTTCGTTCGAGCGGCTGTTCAAGAAGCGCTACCAGAAACGAAAGTCGGGTAGCAGTGGAGGCGTCCCGGACATCACAGTGGAGTCCCCGGTACGCCGAGACATTCGTGCTCCTCTACTGATTTATGAGCGTTCTCATTTCCGTCTGCAGTCGAATACAACCGGGTCTCGTGGGTCGACTGCTGTGACTCAGCCCCACCTTCTGAGCCCAGAATTCTCGCACCAGCCCTTGCCCGGCGCAGGGCCGGAAGACATGGGTGCAGAGGGAGATCAGCGTACCTTGCCTCCGCTGCCCGAGTTTGACTTCAGGACGCCCGACGTGGTCCCACTTCCGGATGGACAGCTGCCTGCTGGCTTTGTGCAACTTACCCCTGTGATGCAGGTTGCCCCTGCGGGACGGGATCCTGTGGAGGTGTACGACCATGGTGCAATGAGGGCGACGCCAAAGCCCGCTGCAAACCCGAAATTCAGCCCCACGTATGAGATGGCCCCGATTCCTCCAGGTGTCGTCTACCCGGACCCTCCGAGACGAAGCATGACACCACATGAGGCTGTTGGTGTACCGCTCCCACCTTCTCCGCCTCGGACAACCAGCCCTCGCGGAAGGGGTGGAAGTCTGAGTGGCCACTTGTCGCCACTATCGTTGAACCTGTTCTCTCCTCTCAGGCTATAATATTGGACCATGATTAGATTGATATTTATTGCATGCAGTAAGTGACTGTTCATATGATCAACCCGGCCATGTAGCTTTAGTATCATGTCATGCTGTCTTGATATGTGCTGTCTGTATTGTGTAATTGTACCCGTGTGTTTCCACGTTTGCGCACGGATCACTGGGTTTAGCATTTTCAAGTACTCGGTGAGTCCTCAATCTTGCTTCTCTAAGGTACCGGAGTTACGGGAAAATTTATATCCGGGCTTGGACTGATTTAACAAACAATCACATGATTTCAATATCTCATCGCATTCTCTGCATGGGAAACTCAAAAGATGCACTACCCAAATGCGACGCGCATACACTCCGAGAACTGAACTGATCACTGATGTTTTAAGGTGCTGCAAACTCACAGAGTCTATCTAGGAGTTCGAAGGTGGGTGGCACGACTTAGCTTGGAACGGATGGATCTAACTCAGCTGTAAGATATGTTCTGAGATGGGAGCATGAGCGATGTTCAAAAGTTTGTATGATGAGGCTGTACACGACATAGAAGATGATGAAGCTAAGTGATCCGTGCTATGCTGCGAGTGATTGCATCCGACCTATCCCTAACTACTAGTAGCGCATCTTTCTCGGGAGGCGACCACTGCATAGGGTTACTGTGGTGCCCATTAGAGCTATCATCGTGCTATCAATCCGCAAGGTGAGCACAACTGCACCAGTCAGCCGAGATGGCCGACACTTCGTAAGGTTTTGAACTTCCAGCTGGTTCGAGTTGATCGTCTCGCCTCGCCGACAATGCTGCTAAGGCTATGTTGTACCTGCACGCGAGCTCTCGTGCACCACTTCTTATTGTACTAATCCAATGCACCATCGGTGAGATACTCACTGGATTGTTTATGAGATCGTTGTCCACTGGCGTGTGCGTGTCACAACATCATCTCAAGGTACGTAATGCGGTGGACGGTGGCCGATGGTATTGTTGTGATCGCTAGCGCAATACAGCCCGCGGAATGTACTAATCTCACTTGAACTTCGTTTCAATCTTGGAATCAGTATACATGAGGTCCTGAAGCTCATGACAGCAACGGTATGGCCGGTACGTGACACGTTGGACAATTGGATCATACAGCATCTAGTTACTTTCTGGGTGGGGCGAGGACTTGGAAGAGAGATGATGAATCTGTGCATTTGCGTTCTATCTTCAGACACATCTGTTGATATGCTGTTTAGATGTGCTGGCTTGCGCATAGGCTTTGTAGCCATAGGTACTTGACTTATCGGAAGGCTCTGGCGACACATGATTCCTATGCCTCAACTCGGGTGCTGTACCGCCCAATTCTGTGGAAGAGTTCTCATGATGAATCTGTTACGACACTCTGGAAGATAGATTTCGTGTGTCCAAAATCTGCGAGTTCTCTCACAGATCCCAGTTCCATGGGCCATACATGTTGCTGTCTCTGAATGGTGTGACTGCCAACTACGTGATCAAGATTCAGCATATAACAGAATGTTTACTTATGTCGTTCTGCACTCTAGAATGTCCTCCTTTGGCGCTCCCAATGCCTCCGCTTCTGGCATATCCGCCCTGGTTGCTGGTATCGAGGCCATCGAAAGGCCTATATTTATAGGAATACTAGTCTCGAACATGTACGTGCCAATGATCTATAGAAGACGACTGACGGCTATATGAAACCCTAGATTGTATGGTGTCAACCTCGCTCAAACAGCGTACTATTTGCGAAACTATCCGACCGATCGCCTTAGCATAAAGTTGATGGTGTGTTTATATGCTTGATTGCTTCGTAAACTTGCAACAATGACACAGTAAATCTATCCAGGTATTAAGCTTGATGTATGAGATGCATTCTTCTGTGTCTACCTCTAGAGCTAACTGAGCTCAAAAATAGCCTTCTAAACACCTTATTAGCTTGTGTTTACGGCGAGGTGAAAAAAAAAACAATCATCTCATTCACGCATGTTGTTGATTGGAAGATAGATGCTCTGGTATTACCTTATACAATGTCGTGTCAATTTAAGCCTCACTGTTACTCTACCAATGTAAGAGGGTAACATGAAAATTTGCTATTGCGAGTGCTGACACACAATATGTTTGACAGATCTTACGGTGTATGTTCTTAAAATGGATTGGGAATTCTAATTTGACAATTACTTCTTTATGCCTGTAGCTCCAAAATATGACGACGGTATGTGTTATGTATGTGAACCGTCTAATCTCATATTCATAAAATGACGCAGTGGACAATTATACTCATTGTACAAGGGTCCAGTGATCTATTTTCTCTAATCCACCGCGATCTGACTATAGCAAGGCTCTCAGGTTTTACCTTTGCAACATTTATAGTCGTTCGTCTTCAGCCTATACTCGAAGTGTTGAATGATTAAGAAAACGATTTTAGTCCTTCGCATCTGTGGGAGATGGCGTCAGCTAGCCGTAACAGCGATCGGAGTGACGCTCTCTCTGGCAGCATTTTGTTCGTTAGCCCCTTTACTTTAAGATTACATGCGGGTTCTGATATGAATGATAGTTTGCGGTATAGGTAGACGATAGCTAAAAATTTGCTCTTCATTCCTCATACTCACCGTTCGTGTTGATAGAAACTTTGCGTGATATGTGAGTAGAAGTCCCGTTGATCCATTGATCAGTCCTATCACCTACTGATCATTGTCACTTCAAGATATGTCACTGCGAACGCGACTTCCGAATCGGACCAGCCTGAGCAGACTGCGGTTCGTTCTGTTTAGTACGGGTCGTGAATGAATTTGATACGATTGCAAGTATTCTATGCTCAGGTTATAGGTCCTCTCCAGACATCATTGATCGCCGCGGCCGACCTCTATCTTGTCGTGGTCTTGTCTTGGATGCTTCACCGGTCTAGAAATGGATATAAATCGTAAGTCATGTGTAACTGAGGTTGAGTGGACTGCGACGCTATCATACACACTATTAGCACAGCGAATCTTCTCTCTACCTTAATCATTTCCTCCGTAAACCGTGGCATCATTCTTTTGTAGGCGTTCCTTATTCGCAGCTCAATTGCTTGTCCAGGCCCGGGCTTACTACGCTGTTTACCATAGAATTTTGCAAGTTGCCAACCTTGTACTTGTGAGCCCGTTATCTACACAATTATCCACGGCTTAGATGTTGAACTTCCTGCCGTAGTATCTCAAAAGTCTTCAGGGAAATGCTGCTGGTGATTCCATGCTTACAAATGGCGACGTAACTATTTTGCTCCTGCAAGGAACTAGTGAGTATTTTCATTATCGTGTTCGACTATCGGAAAATTGTAACGGGATTCGTCTTAGTCTACTCCAATACTATTCTCATGTCGTGCGTGCACTCTCTCCACGTATCATCATCACCTTCGCATTCAATAACCATGAGTTGTGCTAGTTTGAACATTCGACGACACATCAACGCGCCAGTGGATTTGGACAACTCATTGACCTTGAGCCCTGCAAGAGCTCATTTGGAAGATGCAGACATAGCACTACTTGATCTGCCCCCAGTAGCTGTTTGTCATTCGAGAAGGATGTAGTAGTCTATCGTAAGATACTGGAGACAATGCTGACTTCTTGTTTCTTGTTGGCGGATATATGGTAATCGTGTTCAGATTGACGCGTGTGCGTGGGGGGGGGACGCAGCGTATACTGTTTGAAAGTACTATTCATTGCCCTTAGAGTGTACAAGACGCGTTGAAGTCAGATAATCTACCGTCAGGGGATTCGCCCTGGACAATTGTGCTAATTTCTGGTAAGATGGACTTGGCCATGTACAACCGAAACAACACTCGCAAATTGCCCGCAGCGAAATAATCCCACATTTGCGATTGTTGGTGAGTACAAATGTCAGTATATCCTGTGTCAACGCTAGAACCAGAGAGGCGAGCAGGAATATGCAAGGCGCCACACGCGAGAACTTTGTTTATAGCATCGCCACTCCTATTTGCTCACTAAATTATCACATCGGCGAAGACAGGGCGGTGGTCGCTAGCTAAAACACCATCATCTGTGAGAGATGAACCAACCTTATACGAATTCGCAGTCCTGCATCGTGTCAGTTATACAAGTGGATCCACGAGCTAATTAAATGTGCTCACCATCCCCCGTTACTCCCGCCAAAGACAAAGTCTACTCTCGTGAAGACCGACGGGTCTCCCGGCCTATTAAAACCTGTGAACGTGGCAAAATCGCCCGATATGTGCATGCGCGGAGTCTCCGCTTTCAGGTCCTGCATGATGAACTGCGGGAACGCGTCGGGAGGCACTGCATACTTCGCTTCGAACGTTGAATCAATAGGTACGGGCGGAATGTGACCAGTGATAATTTGATAAGCGCCCGAATCATAGCCCGTGGCAGCACTATTGAAGTCGCCCGTGACGAATACGGGGCCACCGGACGTGTAGGCTTCGTAACGCGCACGGGTGAGCAGGAGCGAGGCAGAGAGTCGGCGCTGGCGATCGGAACGCTCGTCAAGATGGGTGTTGATGAGCGTGAAAGTCTTCGTAGAGTTGGTGACAGTCGTCGTGGTGAATCGAGCTACTTCGCAGACACGGAACGAACCAGCATCAGGGTATTTAGATGGCTCGAATGGAAAATCTCTAGAAATGAGTCAAAATGAGCCGGCTTGGCTTCCAACATGCGGTGATATCAATGGGACGCACGACAACCAGAACGAGTCATGGCTAATTAGTTTGAACTGTGTCCTAAAGAATCGGGTTGTATGTGAGTATAGGCCCGGTAGCACAGCCTGATGAGGCTTACTTCTTGTAGAAAATTGGACAAAACTCGCCACCCTCAGCGCCGTCGTCTCGCCCCACACCGAGCTTAGTTATGGTTGTCAGACTAGACTCTCCATGTCATCAGATAGACCTACTCACCCATGCCCACTCATCCCCTAACAACTGAGCTAGATCCTTGACCTGCCTGATAAGAGCCTCTTGAAAGCCTGTTGTGGATGAACTTCACGTATTTTCACCCCCAGTAAAATTCTTACCAATTAACGCAGGCCCCTCACTCAACAGATGCTGGGCTACTTTGATTCGCCTTGAGCTCCAGGGCTGTTCGCCAGTCTTAAACAGGAAGCGCGGACTTGTCAAGGGGTTAGGCAGCGCATCGATGGATTGTTGAACAGTAATATTGTCCGGTTGCGAATCGTAGCGCAGGTTGTATGATGCTATCCGCATTGGTCCAACAGTAGGTACTTTGTGGCCTGGCTTGTAGAACAAGAGAAGCAATGCGATGAGCAAAGCAGTATAAACCTTCGGCATTCTCTCGAAGATGGAGGCTCGGTGTGAGTTTGGGAAGCGAGCAAGGACTAGCGGTCGGGGAATAGCAAGACATACATACTCTCTGGATATGTAGGATCAACTCCGGGACCTCAGAGATGTATGTTCACCGTTGGAGTTCAAGCTGTCGCTATCATCGGAAGTACACGAATCGCGGCGCGTCGAGAAGCGCTACATAAATCTCCAAAACTCCTGGATTTCTCAACTGTCCCGCTACTAGTACGATTCCAAATAATGTTGCGATCCGTGTTCTGCTACGAAGTAGTATACAAAACCTCAAGGCTACGGAGGCTGTCGTTCATCCGCCCCACAGCTGGCAACAAGGCTCAACGGCTCAACGGCTCAACGGCTCAACGAAGCCTGCTCAACAACTTGAAATCCATCACCTATATCTACATCGGTTCTACTCCGAATAGCGCACTCATCTCATATGAAAACGCAGTCTAAATTCTCCTTAAAATCGACGAGGGATCTTCTCACATGCTTTTCTAGTTTCCTTCAGCCTCTAGCAGCATCGCCGCTGTCCTGACTGTCAGTATTCTTGCTTCCACTTCCTGAACCTCGTCCTCGTCACCATCAGCACTATCTGCATAAACTGACGTAAGTCTGCGATAGTTGTGCTTCATAATGCAGTCAAGATTCTCGGACAAGAAATATCATGGCATCAAGATCGACGATTTACCAAGGATGGCTAGGGGATATAAACCAGAAGGCGAGGTAGTTAATTTGACATAAGGTTTCTAAACTCTAGATAACAAGAAGTTCAATCAGCCGTACCTTCAAATGAAACCGACTGTTATAAGCTTATAGAAAGACTGAAAATCAACCTTGGTCCTAAGAACATCTAGAAAGACTTGCTCAATATTCGCAATAGCACTGGGCCCACTTTGAATGCATATCAAAACGACTGCACACTGAGTTCCTCTTAGACTCTGAGCTAGTGGTCTTTATGGTATGAAGCAGTCTGCATGAGCGAATAAGGAAGCCTGATTGATGCAAGCACTTCGACCTAGCAGAGTGATAAGAGAAGAGCACAGCACACACTGAATTTTGAACGGAGACCCTGGAGTCGCAAAGTAACTGCAATGCAGCCAAACAAGCTTGTAAGCTCGGATTCGATCGCAGTGTGAAACAGTGGAACTGTATAGCTATTGATCGGTATTTGCCGAGTGGCTGTAGGCCGCGCCCTCCGTTGATCAGCCGTACTGAGGCATACGGTAAGGGTTCCGCTCATCGTTTCGACTCATTATTCCTCAAGATGCCGCGAGGTATGTTTGTATTCATGCTTGTATGTTTTCTCGTCTGTGCTCATATGTATCTTCAGTGTACAAGCCAGGAAAAGTATGACTGCGCGAGGTCCGCTATTCAACTTGTATTGATTGTTATGCCAGGTAGCGATCATCCTCCAAGGACGCCAGGCAGGCAAGAAGGTTGTTGTCATTAAGCAGCAAGACGAGGGCACCAAGGAGAGACCATACCCCCATGCTATCGTTGCTGGCATCGAGCGCTACCCATTGAAAGTCACGAAGCGCATGGGTTCAAAGAAAGTAGCGAAGCGGAGCAAAATCAAGCCTTTCATCAAGGTGCGCATGTTCCAGTTTCGGTTTTTTATTGGTTACATATGTCTGGACTGCTAGGTGGTCAACTACTCGCATCTATTCCCCACACGATACGCGCTTGAGCTGGAGGGATTGAAGGGCACTGTTGCAGCGGATACCTTCAAGGAGCCCTCGCAGCGGGAAGACTCAAAGAAGCAGATAAAGAAACTGCTGGAGGACCGATACACAGGCGGAAAGAACAAATGGTTCTTCCAACCTCTTCGAGTACGTTCCCTTGGTATATCTGCTCATTCGTATCTAAACTGTATTTTTCTTCAGTTCTAGGTGTGACCGTCTGTTGTAGTGCTGTCGGGGGGAGTTTGCAAAACCACTACATGTACATCACATGCTTATTCATGACGCATGCCTCGCATATCACTATTGTGCTTTTTCGGTCTTATGCTATTTCGCGGTGTTTTGCTGAGAAGTTCCGAGTTTGTCCTGCTGCAGATGATTGTTCACTGAAGGTCTGCACCGCGTGGACGCTTAAGAGTACAAACATGTCTGCAGTGGCTTCTCAGAATGGACCTCACTGATATCTCTCACGGCGTCTTCTGAGGTATGCCCTAATAAATCTTGACGTTAGTTGTTGCGAGGCGAGCGTATCTCATCGGCGTTCCTCTCGCACCCGTCCTCATGGTCGTTTTCGATATCGGGCATCGGCTGCTATTTACTCGTTCGACGGATACTTTGAGCTATTGCTGGTGGGTGAGTCGTAATCGGAGTTGTCAGCCATGAACTACTATTTTTTTAAACTAATAACGGTCTACCGGCTAGTGCGTTGGGGCCTCTGGGCAGAACGGCCTTGATTTGTCGTGGATGCTGACTGAACATGCCTCGGAGCTCGCTGAGCGGAGTGCACATGTGTGGACGGCATCACTCGGTGCCTTTCTGATAATGTGTTCTCGACTTGTATCCTCCATGAATATGACCCAGGCATTCCTTTGGAATCGGGAATCTTAATCCAAAATTGCTCATCGCCGTCTTACTCATATTTTTGACTTATGGAATCAACTAGGCACGTCAATGAATGCAAGGATGCGCTACTACGTATCGGCAGTGGTGCGGTCAGCGATGGCACCGCATATGGTCAGATCACCTTCGCATATTCGTCATTGATTGAACTCACCTAATCGCCGCTGAACGTTTTAGCAGAGGCACAAAAGTGTCCGTGGCTGTCTGGACGTTACCATGGTCCCTTCGGCAAATGCGTGCGTGCGTGCGTGAGTGCTGCCAGCGTGATGGTGATGCACTGAGGTGTATTTTCCACCTTTGTACACCTCGGGGTCAAACCACTCGTACGTTCAGCGGTTCGTGTGAATCAACCTCCTGTTCTACACCTTTATATATGCAGTCTTCTGCAATGTTCCCATGTCTGCTTCTCCTCTCATTTTGACCCCTTCAAAGAGGTTTTGTCAACAGACCTGGACTTGAGGACACTGCGTCCATGATGATTTATGGCGATTCGCTCTTGGTGGTATCGCTGGTTTTTACGCTCTACAGCGCTGTCAATGCCGCCGCAAATCCGGGTTTGATGAAGAGGGATGTCGCGGCTGTATGTATAGAAATCGCGCAAGCCATCTCGTCGGCATCAGAGGTGTTTTACCCTCGTATGTTCCCTCTCCTTTATGTGAAATCGAGTCCATATTGAAAGTTGCTTCCTAGCTGAGTATTATTATCTCGAAGACACACTGCACTACATTTCGTCCAGCTCGCAGGTCGCTACATGCTCAGTGGAGCCGGGTACAACGGCAGATGTTGGCGCCATAGTGAGGCTCAATACTACAGCTTGCTGTCTTCAATCTGAATCTCACTCTCTGTCAGCTACAAATACTTGGAAGCACTCAAACGCCGTTTGCTGCGCGTATTTCCTCATTCTGTGCATCTTGTCGATGTTTACGATGCGTCTTGTTGCAGGTAAAAGGTGGTGGGCATGCTTCTAACCCAGGTTTCTCCTCGACGACGGGGGTGCAGATTGCCATGGCTCGCTTCAATGGAGTTACGTATGATTCGACTACTCAGACAGCTGAGATCGGCACGGGGCTCATCTGGGATGACGTTTACGCGGCTCTGGAACCCTTTGGTGTGAACGTCGTCGGAGGGCGGGTCACTGGTGTTGGCGTTGCAGGCTTCACGCTGGGCGGAGGTAACGTCATGAGGCTTACATTTTGATCAGCATTTTCTGATTTCTTGCGTTGGCTGGGTTACAGGATTCTCATTCTTGACTAATCAGTATGGTTTAACTATTGATTCCATGGTGTCGTACGACCTAGTGCTTCCAAATGGCACTGCTACGACAGTGACTGCCTCATCAAATCCAGATTTATTTTGGGCTTTGAAGGTGAGGACAGCGCGTTTCCAGATCTGTTACAATGCTCACATCTTCTGCAGGGTGGTTTCAATAATTTTGCAAGTCAGAAGTTTGATAAATCCGTATCGGGCTGACAGTGTGTTTGTTAAGGGGATTGTTACACAATTCACTCTGAAGGCCTACCCACAGGGAGAAGTTTGGGCAAGCAAATCGCTGCTGACCTGATAGAGGATCTTGGCTAACTGTCAGACTGTTCGTAGGGTGGTATAATCCTTACTTCGGAGATCGACCAAGTCGAGACGGCAACTGCTAACTTCTATGCCAACGTGACTGATCCAAAGGCTTCTATCATATCAACATTCAATTATGACCTCGGCCTAGTATGTTGTATTATCTTTGATTTTGTCGCAACAGCGCTGACTTCTTGTGCTGCAGACTATTGCCGAAATTAACATTTTCTATGATGCACCCGCTCAGCCAGACGGCATTTTTGACGAATTTTTGGCTATCCCAGCGCTGCTTCAGGATATATCCACCCGTTCCTTCCTATCGCTCGTTCTCTCCGCTCCAAGCAACGTTACTACTGGTCTGCGGTCAGTGAAGACTTCCGAACATCCTTACTTGAGCTGAATGGTAGTGACTATTGTAGCGGTTACTTCGATACTGTATCTTTATATGAGATCACTCCATCAATAATGGAGGCTATTGTCAACGAAACGGAAGTATGTGCATTTCTGGTTCATAGCAGTTTGAACCTCGCTGACATATTTGCAGTTTTGGTCCTCCAACCTCGCTCTCGAAGTTCCTGGCTTATTTGTCAGCTACGACGTCGAGCCCTTCCTCCCCAATGCGTTCTCATATGGATCAGATTCGGCATGGCCTCCTACTCGTACTCAGACGGTCCTGCCATTGAACATTTATTACGGGTGGGGTTTAGAGGCTTCAGACTCCCTCATCAACCAAGTCATGCAAGAAAGCGCAAGCTATCTGGCTCAGCTGGCTGGTGTAGCCAGTGCAGCGCTGTATCCCAACTATGCCATCTACGACACACCGTTGGCAAATATGTACGGGGACAATGTTGCCATGCTGCAGGAGATCAAAACCCAGTACGATCCGGATAATGTGATGAATCTTGCAGGCGGTTGGAAGTTCTGAATGTACTACTCTTGCTAAGGACATAATGATGTATCATGATGGATCTATTCTGCTAGCTATATTTTCAACTAGGGATTTTGTCTACGATTGATCTTGCAGTGTACTCGCGATGTGTACAGTTTCGTTTATGGCGTAAGCTCAATTGCACGTTTGGCCCGAGAGCCTGGCAAATGAAGATGCATCTGACCAAGCTGAATTGGCTTAAGCTTGTGCAAGGTTCGAGGCTGGCACTGTTCCTACCCCGTTTCGTACCGCCGCGTCGTGCGACCCCGTATTTGTACTCTCCACTGTCACTATCACTGCAAGTTCGAACACGGGGTATTCTAGAGATTGCATGCGAGTCAGGATTGTTTCCGACGCGATTTGTCCTTCGGCCTCGGTAGTCGCCCAGCAGAGGCTTGTACCCCAGCATGCTTCACACGCGTTGCTCCTGCATCCCTGGACACGCACAAGGCGCATGTAAAGGATGCACAGCCAGCTATGCTTACAGCTTCTGGTGAGAGCGTCGTCGACTAAGCCTCCCTCGAGTCCTCCCCGTTGACAACCTGGCTCCAATCCCACACATGCCTGCGAGTTCACTGCAAGTCACCATCCCTGTTCTGCGCCCCCCTTTCCATGCTCATGTAATCTCTGCGCCGGCATCCCCAGCGAGCTGGGTGCATCAGCACTCCACATTCCAAATTGCTTCGTCGCAACCATCCTCCCCGGTGCAGGTTTCGCCTCTCCCAATCTGGGCCGCAGCGCTTCCTCCCTCTCGCGCGCAAGTCGTTTTTGATAGCACCAAGTCACAATCATCTACTCTTGTATCATCTCCAAGCTACTTGTCCGCGTTGGATGCGGATGCGCTCCCGGTGCATTACGTGGAGCCGCCTTCGCCCAGCGTCGCATCCTTAGTGGAAATGTCTGTGCATACACCTTCGAGAACGGACTTATTGGGAGAAGATTTTGACGTCCCAAGCCCTCAGTTCCTTTCTCCTATTCATCCGGACTATGTGTCTCCCCAAGAGAACTCTCAGTCATCGCTGAGCACGAACATGCTCGGCACACATCAAGATGTCCGTAGTGTGTCAACGATATCGACCTCACCTCCGAAGAGTCCACCTTCTGCTACGGCGCTGTCATCTTCTGTGAACCAGCTAGCAAACCGCAGCCGGTCAACCACGCTGGTAGAGGACGATCTCCAGCCCTCGCAAGCCTCTTGCTCGTCCTGCTTCTCAGGGTCCGGATCTCAGACTCGCCATTCCGTTTTCTACATGAGAGACGAGATGGTGGTACTGGATGTAAGTGCACGTACGTCGATATGACGTTGGAATATGGCTAAACCTGAGATGTAGGTATCCGGTTGTTTGTACAGAGTACATCGCCACTTCCTAGAGCGGAACTCTGAATTTTTCCGCAAGATATTCTCTGGATGTACTAGCGAGGATGCAAGTACCGGGGGCACAGATGACACGGCCATCGTGCTTCCTGGGGTCGGACAACATGAGTTTGATGTCTTGCTAGATTTCCTCTACTACCGGTACGTGATCGTGATTGCAGTGCCTTGCACATGGATAGCCAGTTCATTCTCATCCGCTTAGGGTATTCGAGGATGAAGCAGTGTCTTTGAGCGAGTGGATTACATTGCTGAATGTGTCTACGCGGCTGCGTTTTTCCAGAGTCCGGGCTTGCGCCATCCGTGAGATCACCGCTCGGCGTGAGTCACTCAGTGCGGTCGAGATCATCGTACTTGCAATCAGGCATGACATACCTGGATGGCTTGCGTCGGCTTATGCGGATCTGTGCCGTCGGACTCATCCCTTGGACGATCTGGAAGCGGAAGAGCTGGGCGCACGTATCACTGCTCGAGTTGGACGTGCGCGCGAGACAATTCGCGACGAGACCTATAGAAGCTCCCAGGAGAAACGGAATGGAAATCGCTCCAGTGGCTCGGAGACTCTAGATGAAGAGATAGTTTCTAGGGTCGTAATGGACGTTTTCTGGCTCGGGGATGGGTCGAGACGTATATGAGGGCCACTGTTGTGCTTGTGAGTATTGTCGGGAGTTCCACCTGCATGCAGTAATGGCTTGTATGGTTTGTATTACCTCGATCTAGGCTGCATCTCTATCCCACTGTCCTTTAGCCGATAATCGCGCAGGTGCGTCTGTACGGCAGTGTTTGCTGTGTACTAGTATGCAAGCGATCATTCTGCACTGGATGAGCGGCTTGGAGCCGAAATGGGCAAGTCCCAGCTACAAATTCGTGCGGCTCTGTAAGGTTTGCTTCTTGAGCGGTTCCACGGCTCGTGGGCCGCCCATTTATTCTTAAACGTTGGTACAGATGATAGAGTGCTACTGGTCGCCCCACTCTCTTGCTCTCCCCGAACTCGATTACAATGTCCAGGTCTCCTTCGCCCTTTGACTTTTCGACGTCGCCTATACCATCTCGCGTGTCCTCTCCTGCTCCGAGTCCGAGTCCTTCTCTACGTTCTCCTTCGCTGCCTCCTTTGCCTCCGCTCCCGCCGACTTCATCAGCCAAGCGGCACCCAGAGTATTATCTCGATGATGAATTGGTAATCTTTCGGGTAAGCGCCACAGTCTATCGGTCGGTCTACGCGTGCACCTGACGCTCGGACATGCGCATGTAGGTCGAAGACAAGCTGTTCAGGGTCAATCGTTATTTCCTCATCCGCGAGTCGGAATTTTTCCGCACCATGTTTGAGCTTCCCCCAGGTGCAGCAGATGTGGAGGGTACCCACGACGCCGCTGCAATTCCACTACTCCAAGTGACTTGTTCCGAATTCGAGGCATTATTGCATTTTGTGTATAAAGGGTATGTCCCAAGATTCTACACTCCGTTTTTTCTTACATGAATTGACCTGCGTTAACGTTGTTGTCCCTCAGGATGCATGACGACAACCAACTCAATCTGCCTCAATGGATAGACCTCCTCTCATTCTCAACCCGCTTCATCTGTGACAGAATACGCGAGCGTGCCATTCGTGAGATCGACGGGCATTATCCTCGAGTTGATCCTGTGGTAAAGATCGTGCTCGCGACGATGTATAGTATTCCCCAGTGGCTGGCACCATCGTACGAGGCGATCTGCCAACGGGCGAACCCACTTGAAGTGGATGAAGCAATCAAGTTGGGAACAGAAACTACTACTTTGCTCGCGAGGGCGCGCGAGGCCGTTCGTCAAGAGCCAATCGAGTCGCGTCCTGCTTTGACCCCCCCTCCACCGGAGAGTGGAGGGGTTGCTTGGCCGGGACTCACTACGACGGATAGCTATGAGCCATATCGCTCACCTCGCGTAGCGGAAATTGTCAGAGAAGTCTTCTGGCCTCCCTCACCTGAAGCACCTCTCGGTGCATAGATTGGATCTTTAACATCGCGGTGTGGTCGGATCGATCATGGTTGATTCCTATCTAGAAAATATCAGGTCAGAGGCTGATGGTCCTTGATATGCTTGACATTGTAAAACCTATTGTAGCTATGATACTCCCTTGGGTCGAATTTGTTAGTAGACACGCTTCTTACCGCGCGGGCCGACGACGCTCATTCTCATGACTTGAATATGCTTCTTGCTCCGCATAACGGAAAAACGCCCGGGTGCTTTGCACAACTCATTCAAATGCAGATCTGCTGGCTTCACCGCATCCGACACTGTAAAGTTCTCATGAGTGGCCTCTCTCACTATAGCCAGACCACTGACTTCGGAACCAGAGCTGCCTGGGTACGCATCGTGAGAGCGGTCGGCTCATATGTTCGTGGCAACTTCGTGCTGCTTGAGTATAATTTGTTGTTGCTCCTCTCTCAGCGATACATCACGCATCATGGCTTTACGGGCGCGTACTCGACCTGAGCTCGACTCCACCAACCTCGACGAAGATAAAGTGGTTTCCGGGCTGGTATATGAGAGCGGCCAGGGATCACTAACACTGACATTTCAAGATGTGCCGCTGTCGACAACATCGACAGCACGCCATCCTCGTTTCTTCATGGACGAGGGTGTAGTATTCTTACGGGTGAGCCCTCTGTGTTCACCGCATCCCGACTTCATAACCAGGTCTCGGAACCAGGTTGCAGATCCCGTAACCGAACATGATTGTCTTTTCAAAGTCCATCGATATTTCTTGGAACGCGACTCTGAATTCTTCCGCGACATGTTCTCGTGTCCTTTGGGAGGTGCTAGCGTGGAGGGAGAGACTGAGGAAAGCGCGATTGCTCTTCCAGGAGTGACGCGCTTTGAACTGGAATGCTTGCTGTCGTTTCTATATAACGGGTGAGCGACTTGACAAATATGAGACGACAATACTCACCATTTGGCCTTCGCAACCGTGCATCTGCTATTTCGATCTTCCTGACCATACCACAGCATGTACGAACGCGATGTGAGCATAGATGAATGGGTGGCAATACTGTCCATTTCGTCGCGGTTTTTGTTCGATAGGATTCGCGAACGGGCAATCCGGGAGATAGCCACGTATGCTCCTCCGCTGGATCCTGTCGAACGGATATTCCTGGCGACGAAGCACGACATTCCGCAATGGCTTAGACCTGCTTACATGGACCTGTGCATACGCCCGGAGTCACTTACAGAGGAAGAAGCACAGAAGCTGGGTCTACCCACTGTCGTACGCCTTGCGCGCGCTCGGGAACAGCTGTCGCAAGGGCGGAGAGAGACAAGGCGCGAAACCTTCGATGACTATTCAGTAGATGCACTTACCGGGTGCGGATGCAAATCGTGCAGGGAGGCACGGCGTACTGCGGGGAATGGAGGGTACCCAATAAATACCGAAAGGGTTGTAGACATCGTCACTGAGGTGTTCATGTTATAGCGGTGAGAGAGCTTGTGGCTTGTGTCTGACGTCCAACGGAGCAGTGTGGTATATCGATAGTCTTGAATGATTAGATTTTAATCAGCATAGTTTTATTGCCAATAGTACTTGTGTTGGCTACTATTGCGTTAATAGCTGTGAGCATGCAGTGGTTTATGTTTTTTCTTTCAGGAAATGCTCTCCAGACGTAAGTACTGCGGCGCTGATGTGGCAAGAAAATCACTTTCGAAACCTTAGCGCTTCAGCGCTAAAGCGGGACCATCGCGCGCCCAAGTTGCCAATCCCAGCGCCTTTGACATCAGCACGACATCATCAGGACCACTCGACTATTGACTGTGAAAAACCCTTTTGAGCTGAATTTCAACCATAAACGTTCATGTAATGCACGACAAACTAGAGCTTATTATACAGGCTTTCTTGCGTCCGACCGAATTTGCCGTAGTCGCAATCGAGACCCAGGAAGCTCCGGATTCGGCTTCACTGTCGGATCGCACACGCGCCGACGCTGAGACAGGTGGGCGCGAGTATAACATCGAAAATAACTATACGCACACGAAGTTGCTGGTTGTTGTATCTCATCAAGATTCTCACAATATGGAGAATGAATCAGGATGGTGAGTTGTCCACGGATGCAACGGAATGTTATTTGCAATTTTGTAGTGTAATATTATTTGAACGGAAGACAACACCCATTGCACTTGATATTTCTAGCCTGCTTCTGTTCAGCGATTTTGGACCAGAAAAATCTGTGAACTAATTCCCCGACTAGCGTTTTCATATTTAGAACCAAACAGACTACTTTACAGCCGCAACCACATCATTCTCAATATGCCCTCGAACATATATTCCAAATTACCAGTGGCTTCTCGATAACTATGGCTCAGTCACGGCGAAACAACATCGATCTGCGTCCTTCCTCTACAACCAATACCCTAAATCAACCAGGGACAGGTGCGCTCATAGAACATAGATGGCTTCTTTCCAGTTTTCACTATCATTTTAGAAATGGTACTGACAATTAATCCTGGCCATGATTCCGCCTCTCAGCCACTTTCTTTGATCACTCGCGATTCGCAAGGATTGAAGCTTGTCCTAGAAGCATACCGACGTCTTAGAAAAATATCCGGTATGTAGCGTTCAACCCTGTATGATGTCACATCATATTATACATCGCAGTGGAGCTGACTCCATTGATATTCGAAGCTACCCAACAGGCACGTTATGAAGCCGCGGTTATATACAAATGGCTCGCTCCTTACCTCGCCGAACCTAGTCGGATCCCCATGCGTGCGTCATACCCATAAAGTTCCTTATCGCGCGGCAATTCGATTGACATACTCGTGAAAGTGTCATCTATCCCTCCGGATATCCGCATTCTCAAAAAACCCTTGCACACCCTTCTTTCAGCCGCCAGCGCAGGCATTCCAGGCGACGAGACTTCAGATATTGCGCTTGTCAGAGAAGATTGGATACGAAGCAAGATAAAGCATGACTTGATCCCAAATTGTCCAGGGACATCGTCTCTGCGGTTAGTAGTTTACGTTGTCATGCTCCGGCAAGACTGAGTGTAATCCAATGCTCGAAGAATACGGATAGGGACATATAACGTCAATGGACAGCTGCCATCTCAAGATCTCTCTCCCTGGGTCGGGGGTCGACTCGACGATTCGGAGCCGCTCCAGAAGGAACATTTGACGACGAAAAACTCAATAGAAAACAATTCCGGTAAGTCATCCCTCATAAGATTCCGGTTGACAATCATCGGGAGATGTTCGGCACTGGGGGAGTCAGAAAATCAGTTTGGTTATTGACGGTAACCTTGAATCTTACTAATTCGCAATTAGATTCAATTTCCCTGGCAAGTACGCTAGTCGAGACGTCATCACATTCAAAGAGTCCAGATATAATTTCCTCAGATTTGTCGGACTCGGATCTCTTGGTTTTCGCTTTCCAAGAACTCGACCTCTCTACTGAAGCTCTGTTGTATTCTACCAAGACTGTACGAGAAGACGCCTGGTGCGCGGCGTTGTTTGCTGGCCTGGGTGAGAAGGCTTCATTATACGAGAAGGTAGGCCTAATAATTTCTATTCTGTCACGACAGTTTTGATCAAAAATACGTAGCTCACATCCAAACAACTTGTCGGAATGTTGCTTGTGGCGATCGTCAAAAAGGAGTTGAAGTCATGTTTTGTCGACATCAAATCTGCCTCGGTAGGGTCTGGAATACTGGGCATAATGGCAAGCATTTCTATGCGAGACTTCTCTTTTTTTTCTAAATATTACATTAGGGAAATAAAGGAGCTACCGCGCTTCGACTAACATATGTCCCGCCCCTCTCGTCCAAAGTGCATTCCCCTAAGCCAACTGTTTTAACGTTCGTCAATTCTCATCTTGCGGCCTTTGACGAGATGTACGAAAGAAGGAATGCGGATTTCCATGATCTGTCGAAGAGACTGATGTTTGACTCGGGGATTCCCGCGCCGTCGATACAATCTGAAGATGGTCTAGATGCCCCGATCTTGCCCTTGAATATTTATGAGACTGACGCTCTATTTTGGATGGTGGGTGAAACGCTTTGTGTAGCATTATTCGTCTCTCATCGTGCCTCTTCCTCCAGGGTGGTCAGTTTCACCCGTTTGCGCCTAACTTGTATCTCAGTTGAAGGGAGGTGCAGACCTCAACTATAGAATCAATTTGCCCGACATAGACATACGTCAATTGCTACGTTCTCAATCAGAATCCCGAGATCTCGACTGGAAAATTCTTCTCGGTTATGATCAGGTCTCTAGAATTGCCCTTTTATCCGAGTTGATTTGCTCAAACCAGCCTCGGTGCAGCTGCGGCTTGCAATGCGGACCAACAAAGCCTTTGAACTATTTTCTGAACATCCCATTACGCACCCACCGTGTGTTACGCGTCATTTGCCCCTTGGCGAAGCTGACAGAACTAAATTTTGGTTCCTTAACCTAGTTCTTATAGATTCAGCGCCGGTATTACTCCAGATGACCAAGGATATGACACGAAGTGGGGCTTTGATCCTCCGTAACGCCTTTTGCACTAACACGCGCTGCGCAGACGGAAGCCAGGGTGGACCGACCGGATTTTATACCTTCATTCAGCTATGGTGGAATTGAAACAATTCAAATATTCTAGTCATCCCGAGATCACAATGAGCGACCACAGGCCTGTGTCTGCAGATTTCAGGATGACGGTGCGTCATCACAAATGTGTCGTGCGGAAGAACTTTAAATAAACGCCCCGCGGGATGTTACAGACGCCGCTGTTGAACAGAGTCGCCTACAATTCTTTCATCGAGGACACGTGGAAGCTCGTGGCCTCTATGGAAGATGAAGATGTCACCCCTAAAGTAAGGCTGAGTGATTCGATTGTGGATCTTGGCCAGATATCGTGCGTGATTGGAAAGGTGTACTGGTGTATGACTCAACGCAATTTTTCTCAGCTATCGGCAACGCGCCACGAAGACCCTTGATCTGGAGAACATCGGGCAGGTCCGTCACACAGTTTCAGCGTTTTCCTCATTCGCGCTCATGGATGTTGAAGGTGCCATGTATCTATCGCTTTATTGGCGCGAACACCGAGCAGATCCCTCGTAAGCTGCTTCATGCATTTATTATTATTCGATCTAATTGTATGCATATCATGAAGATCCCGAGTGGCTAACCATTGACAAGATGACGGTGCGCTCCGAGGTTGCATAGGTGCTTTGACGCTTACCGGAACAAATGGACTCGATTGCAGGGCCTCATTTTACCTGGTCAACGAACGACGCTGGCTCTATCAACAGAATTAGACAACAATGTAACGTCACGTTTGAATCGTGGCACGACGAATCTGGAATTTACCCTGGTCCTACACATTGCATATTCCAAAGATCACTTTATTACTGTCATTGGAAAATATGGTGTGTGCTCGATCTCCGCCTAGATAACGGATCAGGCTGATCTATCAGGAAGAGCGCACATGCTTTGCCAACGATGTGACTTGGCTGACGCGATTACCTGGGCCTATCAAATCGCTCAGGAGCCTATCCGAGCTGCTCCCGGAGGAGCACATGATGAGCGCTCCCCGGGAAATCATGCTGCTGATCAAATGGATCATGAGCAATGCAACGGAAGTTGTGGGCGTTCCACAACACCTTGCGTGGGTTTGAATCTCACTTGATATGTCCAGGAAGGAATTTTCCTTAAACCCGGAGATGAAGAACTCCTTCACAGCATACGCGAGGTCAGCCTGGATGTTTGCTGTGAACGGCTAAGAACATTGCTAAACACACCGAAAAGTGCCTAGATGTCGGAACAGAGTTCGACATACTTCGACATACCAATGACAACGAAAGACTGGCTCTAGCTGTCGCGGATACACTTCTTCGATTCCTTGCGTCATTGCCAGAGCCAATCTTCCCGACGCCACTGCATCAAAGATGTGTCGAGATTACGAGTAAAGAAGAAGCGTTTGAGGTTAGTCTTAGACTACGTCGGTGGCACTGCGGATGACCTTGCGACCACATGGTCTGCATCTCATAGTTGCTCAACGAGTTGCCAAGTGTATCTCTAAACGTACGTCTGGCTCCTTGACGCCACATGGCGTATGGGACCTTGGTAGCATAGTGCCGAGCAGCTGATTTTGTAAGAACCTAGGTGTGGATATCTGTGACAGCCGTACTGCATTACATCACGCAACAATCACCCTCCAAGAGGCACACTGAGCAGCTTGGTGAGTTGATTTTGCGGCATATGCATCAATCTCCGACCGATGCATGCGGATCTAGTGGCTGTGTTCGCATCTGTTCTACTGCGTGAAACAGACGTCCCCATATCGATTTTAGGCAAAAGGAATTTCGTTCGCTACTTCATTGCGTGAACCTGGATGCTATTCTGGGCGATCGACATAAATATGGTGGAGTGGATTAATAATAGCTAGCGTATGTACAATGCGGGGCCGTGTAAGCTACTATAAAATACGATGGCAAGCACTGTGTTCGGTGAGCCGATGGGTGTCTCTATGGATACATTGCAACAGCAACGAACGCGAAAGATGAGGAGAGATACTAATTAGTGTGGACAAACAAAAATGAACGTGTTCACGCTAGTGTGAAATCCGATTACACCGTCCAGGATAAAGTGTCCGTTTCACTTAAGTTGACCAGAACTGTGGCGTCACTCCTATCAGCCTAGAACCGCAACGCTGCGCAGAGACTGCGCCTACACTTAGTACTTACACAGGTACGTATGTACACGCGATGCCGCGACGTTGGCAGTTTGCGCAAGTCTGGCGGCCATCACACTTTAGTTTGCGGCCTTGATGTCCGTATTCGTCACTATGTGAACACCAACAAAATACACGAGGCTATTCACCTCTGCAAAATTGACATGCCATGGGAGTGCGGCGTGGAGTTCTTGGGGATTGGTAATCATCCTCAGGCTCGGAATGCCCATTGTTCTGACTGGAGCCCGCCTAGCAGGACAGGTTATACGTGAGGACCATGCATACCAGTCATGCTCGAGGACCAGCTTACCTGCGTGCTGCTCATTAATCCGTGTGTTTACTTTGAGTAGTGAATAGGAGTCTGTGAGTTGACTGAAGAAAGAAATACAACGGAACTCTGAGGGTAGAATGCCAATCCAGCTCGAGGGTACAGCTGCTTATAACCCTGTACACTCACTGCCACACCCGCCTTGAACGCTGGAAGCTTCTGGCTTGAGTCATAAGGATTGATGAGTTGCCTGCTCATGCTTCACTATCCCGGCCGAGATTGTGACATACCACTGGGGACCCTGGTATGGCACGTAACCCCGACAATGCCACAATTGGTACAGGCGAGCGCAGATGCAGTGCCAAGTGTTTCAAATTCTGGGTGCTGTTTTGCTTACAATTACGTTCTGGCCCATGCTCAGCGGAGGAGTATCCCAATACAGCTCCAATATCTCGGTAGGAACTATTCGTCGGAACCATGCCGCGGCTAACGCGCAAGATTTCTATTCAGTTTTGCTTACGGAAACCCGCGAAAAACCAGACACCAAGACTTTACATCCCTCGGGTCGCCAGAGTGGATCGGTCGCGGACGTTCTATACTCTTAGTTCGCGGGAAAGATGCAACCGGACGAGGCAAGGCCTCAGAGCTGTCGGTCAGTGGACGAATCGGTCGCAAATCGGAAGAGAACCATGTGGATGCTGACCCATTAAGAACATGACAAATGTTGGCCATAACTGTCCGACATGCTCACCAAGGCTCGTATGACCGGAAGTCAAGCGCTCTTACCTCGTTACCTGATACTTTGCCAAAGTAACCATATCAGTGGTACAGTGCTGGTCAGTCCGGCTATAGTACCGGATTCCTCGTGAAGACCGATCCCGGGCTGTTCACCGGTGAACGTAAACTTATCCTATCCGAGCAACACGTCAGCGGGGGTTCGGACGTGCGTCGGTGATTGTGACATATCTCAGCAAACGTGACGCCAACCGCAATGCTTGCATCCTAATTGATACAGCTCCCGAGTATCGCAAAAGAGCTCAAGAATTGGGATGTGGCGTGCACACCATTAAAGCGCGGGCTATGAGCGGACACAGAGACATGGTGTTTCATCTTAGCAGAGGCTCCCTGGCAACAATCTCCGGAAGCATTGGCCGCGGCAACGCTCCCGGACAAAAGGTCTGAGATCATAGCACGATGCGCGCCTTGGAGTCTGTACGGGGACGCTGAAACGACATTGGCCCAGGTAGTGCGGAGACCCCATTGAGATATGTCGGGAAAGAGGCTGCGAACGCCGAAGACTAGAACATCAAGCCACCACTAGCTGGATATGCACAACGTGTCGTCTCCGGAAAGATATTGAACGTCTTGCCGAGGATTGGGGATCCTCACGCAGGAGCAGATCTCTGAAGCGCTGAGCCGCGCAGGCACGCGCTGCGGAAGCATTCCCGCCCACGTGTGCCTGAGCTTGGCCAAGAAACATGGCTTCCACGTGTGCGCATGGCTCTGAGGACTCGCCGATGGCGATGCACGAGCACAGAAAGGGACAACGGAGAGGTGTCGACGTGCTGCTCGCTTCATTGGCACAGGACTATGGCAGATAGACGGTACTTCTCTTATTCGCCAAGTTAACATTTTCTCATGCAAACAGCTTTTTGTATGCTTTCTTCTCCTTATTCTTTTTCTCCTTCTTCCACTGGCGCACTTTATCCAGTTCAGCCAAGATGGCTTTGTCGTCCTTGACGAGCTTGTTCGCAGCAACAAGGTCTTCCTCCGCTCCATCTTCGTCGTTGAGGATCACGTTTGCAAGAGCGCGACGGTACAGGGCTTTTGCTATCTCACCCGTCAAAACCAGAACGCCATCATGCTAAGAGAAGGAGCGCACCCTTGTCCGCGTCATTGAGCTGCATCTCGAGCGCCCGATCCGTTGCGCGGAGAGCAACTCCTGCATTTGCCGACCCTCCCCCTCGAAGAGCGGCCAATGCCGAATTCAACAGTAGCGGTGCTAGCAACATGTCGTAAGAATCCTTGAGTTCCGGGGGCGCATCATCCGGCAGCACTGGATGAATATCCAAATATCGTATAGATTCTGCGCAGGTGGAGAGTTAGCTCCGGCGGAACCAGGCATATGTGATGCTGATGATGGTACTTGCTCTGCCACTTGACAAGGGCCTCTTCTGCCTTGCCTTCCTTAAAGAGTTTATTCCCAAGCTCTCTCACCTCCCGTGCCACTTTCAGGGCCGCCTCCGGTTTCTCCATGACATCCTGTCCATCGACCGGATCCTGATCTTCCGGATAGTCCTCGAATGTATCTCCGTCGGCGACTACGCTGCTCTCCGATAAGGATAGGTCGTCAGGCGAAAGTTGTCCGCACCCCACGATAACACATGGTGATACCGGCGCGTCACCCGGCGCGGTAGGTGAGTTTTCGATCGCACGGACGGACGACTTCCCGCGAATCACTTCGCCGAAAACAACGTGCTTGTCATCCAGGTGCGGGGTAGAGTTACAGGTGATGAAGAACTGCGAGCCGTTCGTGTTCTTTCCGGCGTTTGCCTAGAGGTAATGTAAGAGATGCGGATTGGCGGGAAAGGTAGTGCAACACACCATGGAGAGGAGAAAACGTTTCGAGTGCTTCACCTCAAAGTTCTCGTCCTCGAATTTCTCACCGTAAATTGATTCGCCGCCGGTGCCATTCCCCGCGGTGAAATCACCACCCTGGATCATAAACCTGCGCACCTTAGCGGCTCTGCGCAGTCCGGAAGATCATGACCACATACCCTTTAATCACCCGGTGGAATGTACTTCCTTTGTACCACAGCGGCTTGCCCGATCGTCCCACGCCTTTCTCACCCGTACAAAGCGCGCGAAAGTTTTCCGCAGTCTTTGGAGTTACGTCCGCATACAGTTGCATAACAATGCGCCCGGCGGGTTTCCCGCCGATGGTGATATCGAAGTACGTGAGGGGGCGGTCTGAGGCCATTCTGAAAGCTTCACGCTGCGAACTTTCTCCCAAGAGTTTTCAATTTTCTAAGTGGCAAGAAGAGGATTCGTGGGATGTGGGTCCGTCATGGTCGTTGTTGATATACAAAGAGCAGCTGCCCTCAACGTGCGTTCGAGAATCTACCAGAACCGAGAGAATTCTTAATCAAATTCGGATCACCTTTCAGGAGAATGGGTTATTAATCTCGTAGGTTAGATTACCAGCTCGATATTTAATACTACGTAATATCCCATTGAAAGTTGGCGACTGAAACTCTCCAATAAATGTACCTGAGATGGGCGAACTCGCGGAGAACCTTGAAAGCGACGCATCCAATCCATCGCTATGTTACAAGAGGACAATGCTCTACGCGTGGAGCCTCACTGCAGATCAATTGTTGAAGGATCATGCTGTCGATAAGTATCAAGTCCACAATTTGGATTCGGAGATCCGTCAAACACGGTGGTCCAGTGTTTGTGTGCAGCTTGAGCGTCGTCTTCGGCTAATTGTTGCAATGCCTGGACGATATACGCTGACAGAGTACCAACACCCCCTCGCACATATGTATTGTGAGTTTACAAAAATAGTTGCGATGAAACAGTTATGACGAGGGGTGACCGCCAACAATTGCATATATACAATCGTTTGGATGAAAGTCCCGTCGAGACGGGTCTGTCCCGCTTGTGGCGTGTAAGAACATGTTTGTGCGGTGTTGTCAAGGGGATGTCTCCCCATATTTTATGAATACCCCGGGAGGTATTATTGTCACCATCAGGTTCAGCACACGGGTGCCAGATCTGTAGAAAACACATTTCATGAAGGTTGCAATGATAACAGGTTCACCAAGGAGCGGCAGAAATTTTCTGCAGCTAATTTGCGTTCATACTTCTCCGGGTGTCCGTGGCGGGGGGCATCACGGGCTAGTGTGTGCTGTCGAAACGGTAACAGTGATCATTCGTAGCGATTTCGAACAAGTATGCGGTTTCCACATTCAAGTTTTTACTTCGAACTGTCACTGCGCTGGTGGACCTCCGATTGACATCGTTACGGTCCTCCTTCCGTACAGCTCACGCGGTCGTGCCATGGTATTGCGCTGTAATACTCTGATTAGCTATTCTGTCTGATGCAAAATGTTATATGCTATGGTTACTCAGAGGTGATTGAGGTCTAATATATTGGCTGTGAGCAACATACGGCTCATTAGGTAACATAGACGTCCGAGTCGGACCTAATTCCTTTGTCTGGCATCAACTTGAACAGGGCTCACCACGGGCTCGGGAACTAATATTGCGAGACAGCTGCTGGATAACCACCATGGCGGTCCTGTCCGCAGAATCATTCCCGGAAGACTACACGACCACGTTGATGTTGCGTATCCGAGCTGGATAGATTGGAAGAATTCCCGTCCGACCTTGCGAGGCGGACCACACGGCATAACAACGAAGTCCGGTCATATATCTATCCTATGAGATGTTTAACGACAGCAACAAGCATGGGTGCCCTCATATCGTTAGATCGTTGAGACTGAATGAATAAAGGATGGTCATATGGCAATTTTCTTCCAGTGAACATTAAATGGTGTACCATTTCATAAGCCTGATCTACCTCTGAGTTTTGAAATTGACATAAACAGTGTAACGAGTTTCGTGACTGATGTGTTTGATTAACGCCGGGTCGCAATTGAGATGACAAGACAGCTTGGAAAAAACCACCAGGTATACAAAATGGTGTTCCTTTGCAGTGCGCAGGCAAAATTGAGATTATACTGTACTGTATGCCGTAGACTAGAGGTGTGAGGCTCGAACAAACAGGGAAAAAAAGCTACTAAAGAATGAATCGAAAGATAATAAACAATACGGTAAGCAGCGAACGAACGAATAATGTCCCACTCCGACTGTACAAGTGAATCCAACAACAACATCCAAACTGCAGCACTGTTTGTTGACTACGCAAGTGAGTCCGGGTAGTGTCATAAAAATAGAAGCAAGTCCTATAGGGTGCGAGCACCCGTGCCATGATAGCATATCAGCATCGATGGGGCCATATTGGCTGGGTATGAGAGGTTCATCGCATTCACTGATGGTTTCGGTCATCTGTTTTGGCAACACCGTGTGCACAGGTGCGCGAGGGTCATGACGTACGTCGCGGGTAGTCGTGCAAGAGACATGACGGGCGAATTCTCGGGGAAGAGCCGCACTATACAACGGCTTCAACGAGTCGTGACGAAGACGTCGACCGAGTCATCCCCGGTGCGCGGCGAGGGAGACGAAGCGGCTTCCGGTGTGACTGAAAGACGGTGAATTCAGATTTAGTGGGGACAGTATGGCGTCACAAGACCAAGCATACTGACATGACGGGACATGATGATCTTGGCCATCGATAATGGCGGCTGCTGCAAGTCCAATGGGTTAGAACCTGAGGTAAAAGAGCAGGCGACGTCAAGGCAAACTGTCAGCCCAGATCAGAGTACTTGTTACAAGAACCGCTCGCCTTGTCTTAGTCGTCCAATTTGCCAGTGCATCCGTGTGAGCTCAGAACCGCCCTCATAATCACTCCCCTTCTCTAGCATCTGATCCTTCGACTCGTCGCCAAGGAGTGAAGCCAGTGAGAGGGACGCTGGGAGAGAACTCCAGTGCCACGGTTGTTGCTTGCCCACGTTTAAGTGAATTTGGGATGGCGCACTCTCTGTGTCGAACTTATTCGACAACCGATGCAGAGACCCAGTACCGACGTGCAGCACGGCGAGGATAGAGGTGAAGAACGAGAGCACCGAGAGTATCTGAAGGACCGATAGCGACAGGAATTCGCACATGATGGAAATGCGAAGAGAGGCCGTGACTCTGAACGGGAGATGAGAGACCTATGCTCAGTGAACAGCACGATCGTCTCGACAGAGGCAGCGAGTGCTCAACCAAGTGCTCGACGAGGGAGGGGAGTGTGTGTTGGAGGGAAGACGGCCGCCGCTCACCAGGGAGCTTCGAGAGAACCGGCAATCCCCGTGCTCCTGATATCACGCCTGTCACGCACCGCTTCGTCACGCACGCGACCGTCTGTGCTGGCGGCAACTTTGTTCTCATCTGTTCAAATTGTGCCATTACATAGTGTTCAGTCCTCCCCGTCGGCGGTCTCACCTATGTTTTGAGCTCCTTGTCCTACTGTGATGATTGTCTATATGATGCTATGCCACTATCCGTTCGACCGGCGATTCACAATTTTAAACCAGCTTCTATTCAGCAGCTTTAACTGCGCCCCTTCCTCCGCGTTCCCAACACGTTTGTGGCTTCCGACCGAACGTTAGCGGAGCTGCAGGAATGATCGAGCGACGGACATGAATGTCGCAAGGACCGCTGTACAGTTGTTCATCACCGCTGGGTGGCTCGAGTATGTCAGGGATCTGGTTTGATCCTGATTGCTTGCACCGACCACGCCATGCGCGTGCAGTTCCTCACCGGATAACACGAGGGATGGGTAACATGTACGAAGCTGCTAGTGTCAATGCTCTCGCATCTAGGCAGTTCCTATCGAACGTCGAGCTTTAGTGCGGCTCATGCTTTGCATTCAATAACCACTAGGACCACCCACGGTTGTTCCGAACCCGTTTACGGCATGATGTTATCGCATCTTTGCTCATTATTTCTTCGACCAAGGTTTGTCCGAACACGACGACTAAGTAATGATGTGTGTAAGTGTACCACCCATTCTGAAGGTATGTTGGTCCAACGGGCCACATATACAAGGCATTAAGAGGGTTGCCTATCCGTCGGATATTCTAGGATATTATGCAGATAAGTTCCGTGGTCCAAGGACGTACAACATCTTGGCAGGAGCACCTCTGAAGCAGCCGTCTGCTGACCATTTGCCTGGATCGCAGACGTTGTAGGGATCGGGCGAGTATGTGTCTCGTCACCCGTGCCACACGTTCGAGTAGATATCCGTCGACTTCGCGTTTGGGCTCAGTAGGATTTGGTATTTACGGTACGTGGCACGTCCAACTGACGCGTGGGTCAATGTATATGTGGGTATAGAAACGGCGTGGTCCCGCTCAAGATGGGCCCATCGTTAGTTGACCTTCCGGCTGGAATATCTTCAATTGTAACCACACACATTCCTCCCTTGGACGAGTCTTAGTTGTTGAACACTAACTTAGGACATGCGAACCCAGAGTATCGTGGCTGATTATAGCGTTCGAGTTCTCGCCTTAGGCACAATATTGCCGCTTTGTGACTGCCGCATGACCGCCCTACCATTTCGCACCCTCTTCGGGTCTTATGTTGTCTCGCCGAGGGCAGACACCTTCTTGGATTGCATTGCGCTACTGACAGCCGTCTTGCCTGGTTTTTCTCCTTACAATACGTGGGTGTTGAAATATGGCTGGATGGTCTCCCAGCTCACGTTCCTCCTCCCCTTGAATGCTACCATGATCAGCATTAACCTTCATCTTGACGATTCACTTGGATGTGTCTTCGTTGGTGTACTCCTGTCACTCATGTAAGTCCTGTTTTTATTGATTATTCCGGCGACTGAAATGAAACTCTTTAGGCTTTATGGGTGTACTTGTGCCCAAACAATTTACTACGCGTGGCACTATGCCGTGGATAAGCCTATTTTAAAGTACCTGGTACGATATCCTCCTACAGTGTTGTTCCCTATGTCCATCTCAACTCGAAGTCTACCCCCAGGTCGCTACTGCTTGGTCGGTTGCTTATGCTCTCACTAGTTGTACAGCATTTGGCGTATGTAACCGCTTTCACTCGCAGGATTTTGGACACGGCAAGAATGGGGACAGAGGTTCAGGTGAATATTTTCGCCCATCCGCGTTTCCACCGCCTTAATTTCCTCTAGGAATTGTGGTTCTACTTCGTTCAGAACCACGGCAACCCGTTCGCCTTAGCCCAGCTCGACCGGCAAGTATATTTGAAACACCACTTAGCATGTCTTAATTTTGGAGCTTCTTTTTACTCTTCAATGTCTCGCAGAGTATACGGAGTACGCGTTGTTCATCTGATTCTTGAATGCTTATCGAATTTCTATACAGGCCGAGCAAATTTTCGCCGTAAGCTTAACAACACTGATACGCTCTGGGTGATGTGATCATTGTCTACTAGGTCGTTACGAAGCTGCTTGTGCAATGGTAAGTTCCGATTTGTGCCTGTTGAGGGGCGTGCCGAAAGCTCAGAACCTGCAATAGTTACTTCATCTTCAAAATTTGGCAGCGTGAGCTAAATTCGTAATGAGATGGCGAAGGTACACTGAGTGGCTCTCAGTTTTCCGTAGGAGGAGATCACGGGTTTTCGTCGTCGTCGTCGCGGTAAGTTTTATGATGTTCCCGTTTTCATATTCTCCCCTAACACTGTAACAAAGCTTGGTCTGTCGTTATGCTCACTTGGTATGAACCTACGTGCACTGCTGGAGGCTTAAAGGACTGATCGTCTTGCCAATTTCCAGTGTTTGGTATTCGTGAGTCGAGTACAGCTACAGCACGAAAACGACTAAACGCCATTGCACACTTTAAATAGAAACTATTTACACAGCGTACGCATCGAGCAATCATTCGCTAGTGCAGTAAAAATTAGCTCATGTATTTGTGTTTGCCTCAGGTATATCGCTAAGCAAGTGGCAGGTGCCGTCTCAACTGAGACGGTAAGCTTACATCTAACCCTCTCATGATTCACGCCATATCGTCTGTTATCTTGTCCAGCTTCCGGGGACGACCCAACAGATTTTATCCTTCATCACGGAATTATACATAACCATTTCGCTATCCTACATTCTAGGAGATCATATAACAGGACACAGACGGTATGCGTTGCGTGTGTCACTCGAATGGTTGTGAATGACCCCGTCTGTTCCATAGGACGACAATAGTCCTCTCGAAGCTTATCGCGTACATCATCAACCGGGCGATTTTGCTATCGTACGTGGCAGATACGGGTATGTATTCAATGGCACTGATACCGCGCATTGAACAACTTGGAGACTACTCACGCTTCTCGCGTTGTCGACGGTATGTTTTCGCGAAATATGGTCTGTAGATATCACTTACAGACCTTATCCTATGCTCCACAGTACTTGGGAACGGACGTACACAATGACACGCTGATTTCGGAGATCTTCACTGCTCCAAGCAGTGCTGGTAAGCATCTCCTCACAGTGTTTTCAAAAGTGGTCTTGACATTTTCTATAGTATATACGAATACCCTCCTTGCAGCGTAAGCTGTCTTCATGTATACCCTGCGAGAGATGGCTAATGTGGCAGACGACAGCCTGAATCTACGCAAGCACCTTGGGGAGCTCGAGCGCGAGTACGCCGCTGTGCACGAGTCATGCCAGATTCCGCTTAGTAGCATTTGATATAAGCACTTGGCTCGCGGGACGTCGGAGGTGATCGGTAGACGGCGGAATGCATGTCCATTGTCGACTCATCCACGCATCAGTCTCCCGCCTGATCCTGTATGATCGCGCATGTCTCGTCGGATCCGCCGCAGATGCCGACCTGTAAATGCGATGCAATTCTGATCGGTGGCAACGGACTGTATTGCGCAAGGTTCGCAAAGGAGGAATGATGAGTTCTAGCGAGCCTAGTGTGAATTCGGTATGGTAAGCGAGTGGACAGGCTCAGATCCGAAAGCCGAGGTCTGCGCCTACCGCGAGGTACAATTCACGGAAGCGGGAGAAGGCGGGCGGCCAAGAGCCTGGGATTCGGTCCCCATTGAAATGAGTCGTGGAATCAGCGTCTAGTAATTTCTAGGCCATACTCCACCATACTGACCGACAATTTTTGAAAGTGTTGGCAAAGGCAGAAGCTGGACACAGAAAGCTGGGCAAAGTAGTGGTACCACCCAGAAAAACATTTACATACGCTCTGGTGAGTTCACTCCGTTCAGATTTGCACAGCGGCTAGAAGTATTCACACCAATCCCTGCTGACGTGTCCACGAGCGCAGGGGAAAGATGGCTGAACGACCTCTCCCGACGTTGCCCGTTGAGGTCTGGGAACAGGTCATTGATTCTATACAGGAGCCAGAGTACCTGCTGCCATGCACACTGGTGTGCAGGGCATGGTATCCCAGGAGCCGTTACCATCTCCTCCAGAAGATCTGTGTTAGCGACAAGAAACAAGTCGTCCGAGTGGCGAAGCTCGTCCGCAGTCGGCCAGAAATGAAAGGTGCGGTGAAGCTCATCGTGATCAATGGAGGCAGCGGGGATTCTCCTAGGGCAACGTCCATTCCTCTTCTGGGGACATTTGCAATGATGCTGGCGGGCAAGTTTACGCGGTTGGATCAACTCGAGATTGTGAGGGCCCGCTGGGTGCCATCGACATTTCATCCGGATATCTTCCTCCACCTGACCGCATTCGCCTCAATATCACATCTCAAGCTGGACAATGTGTTTTTGCCGTCGGCGTTGATCTTCGGACGCCTTATCTGTGCGTTCCCCAATTTACGGCGCCTCGAATGTGGCATCATGTCGTTTAAAAACAAAATATTCGAGCGAAGCTTGATTCGAGTATCGTCGCCTGTCTCTGAGTTAATCCTGATGGGTGGATTCATTACCGAGCTTGCCAACTTCTTCGCCAGCACAGAACTCGCCGCGAACATGAAACAGCTTGTACTGGGCCGCTGGTGGAACGCAGTCAACCTCGCGAAGCTGCACAAGCTAGGAGCGCAGCCGCTATTGCGGATAGCTGCCGGGTCGCTCATGGATTTTGAGATTACTGTTGACGGCGTGCCTGGCGTAGAGTCCGCACAGATGAAGGATTTGTTAGGTGCGCGTGAAGTCGTGTGCTTTCGCACCCTTGGCAAAGACTAATGTTGTATTAGATTCCCACCTTAATTTGCAACACAATACTAACCTCGAAATTCTTTGTCTCAATGTATGGATCCAGACCTCGATGGACTTGAGTTGGCTGCATCTTTTCCTCTCGATGGTGTCCTCTAAAAAACTTCGCGAGATGAATATTGTCGTGCATTGGTGGCGGCCTGTCCCTATAGACGAAATTGTACTCAGCGGATTGGATGAAACTCAGTGCACGCTCGTGGACACCCTCCTCACCGACCGCCGCCAATTCCCCAAGCTGACATCAATTGACTTTCGGTTTCTTGCGATTAGTGAACAAGATGAAGCCACAAGGGTCATCATGCCATCGCAGCGCTCGTGGATGGACCAGTTTTTGCCACGATTCCCTGCATTGTGCGCTCGTGGAATATTAAAGTGAATCATCATTGCGGATTCCATTGGGAGCAAAATCTAACCTTGTAGTTCTATTTCAGAACCTCTGTGGACATTCGTGTCGACTATGCGTAGTATTAAATGGATCGCGTGCGGCGAATCAGGCAACGATTACTATACGGTTGATATTTAGAAGTGATTTAAGTGGATGCGCGTGTGGCTCAGAAATTTGAGATTGCGCAGAACCTAGCAGATATTCTTCAAGCCGTCACCTTGCCGTGCTGCCCACTGATGAAGCCTGGTGGGAATCAATATTAATTAAAATGAGAAACTGTGTCATTCAATGAGAAAAAATGAGATAAACTAAATTGGCATGAATTACAAAATTCAGCTTTCTTTGCACATTTTCAATGCAATTCATTGAGTGACCCAGTTTCTTGATTTATTTAATGTCACTTTCTACTGGGGATCAAGAGCAAACCAATGAATAATTGTTGTACGTACAAGTGCAATAAAGTGTTCCCACAGAAATATGTTCAAAGTTTGTTGAATCAACAGATAGCACAAATGCAATGGGCTCAAGACCGTTGATATTCGAAATGCCCTTGGTGAGCCACACAACGAGTCTCATTGCCCACATATTCAGGAATATTCACATACGCCAATATTGGTATTATTACACTTAGCTTCTACTTCTGCAGGTATCATGCAAATCCCATAGGGCGAAAATACTAGACTAGATCATTCGCTTCCACCAATATGCTCCTGAATCTGACTCTCATCGCAAGTAAAATCCTCTACGCCAAGACGACCTTCTGTTTGATGACATCCACAATACTGGGGTCCGCGAGTGTGCTGAGATCCCCGAGCTGGTCGCCCTCGCCCGCGACGATCTTGCGCATAATACGACGCATAATCTGCAGACTGGGTCAGACGAAGAACGACGGGCGTCACTGAAGACATACCTTGCCAGACCGTGTCTTCGGAAGGTCAGGGACAATGTACACCTTTTTCGGCGCAGCGAAGGGGCCAATGACTTTTCGCACCTGGAGCGTGAGCTCCTTCACAAGTCCAGCCTCATCGTTGGGGTCGTACGAGAATTCTCTGAAAAGTATGTCGTAAACATACCGACCAATACACCATAAACAACGATTCTTACGGCTTCAAGGTCACGAACGCATAGACAGCCTGGCCAGTGAGCTCGTCTGCAGTTCCAACAACTGGAAGACGAGAAGGTAAAAACTAATGCATAAGAGACAATTAGCATTACTTACCAGCTGTCTCCGCCACACCTGCATGAGTAATAAGCGCGGACTCAATCTCCGCCGTAGACAAACGGTGACCAGAGACATTGATGACATCTGTAAATTTCAATGCATAAGATATGACGTGCTGGTAAGCGGCAGAAAACCATACCATCAACACGGCCCTTGATCCAGATATAGCCATGCTCATCACGCGCAGCACCATCACCAGTGTAGAACACGCCGGGATACGGCTATAGGCAAAGTCATGTCAGACAGACTGCACGGCAATCGAAAACGCTCACTGGCCTTCATGTACGTGTCAAGGTATCTAACGCGATCACGTGACAAGACGTATCAGTATACGCGTACGACCAGGAACAACCTAATCAGCGCACCGCTTGTGATCCTGGTACACCGTTCGTGCAATAGACGGCCAAGGGTGCCTGAACACGAGAACGCCTTCGACGTTTGGACCTTCGATCTCCTACGTGCCATAGGACATCACATAAACGCGCTTGCTTGTGCGTGAAAGGGAAGAGGCGTACCTTGCCAGAGACAGGGTCCAAGATCGCAGGCTCGATCCCGAAGAAGGGGACCGTCGCCGCACCAGGCTTGGTCTCAATCGCACCGGGGAAAGGTGTAACAACGATCGAACCCGTTTCTGTTTGCCTATACAGATACTGTTAGCAGTAAGGACGCTCGCCAAGCCTGAGTATAGGCAGGCCAGCGAGGACGCGTACCAGAACGTGTCCACAATTGCACACTGTTTGCGACCGACGTGATCATTGTACCAATGCCATGCCTCTGGGTTGATCGGTTCGCCGACACTACCGAGAACGCGGAGAGAACTCAAATCGTAATCTTTGACATGGTGGTCACCCAGGCGGCGCAAGAGTCGGATCGCAGTCGGCGCAGAGTAAAACTGCGTAATCTGATGCTTGTCTACTGTCTGCCAGTAGCGAGAGGGTGTCGGGTATACAGGCGTGGACTCAAACACCGTCGTGGTGACACCATTCATCAAAGGACCATATACGATGTACCTGAGAGGCTGTGAGTGTCCTTGCCACGTAGTAGACTCATGATGTACTAACGTGTGTCCAGTGATCCAGCCAACATCTGCCATGCAGGCAAATTTATCATCCGGGTGGACATCAAATACGTATTTCACGGTCATCGCCGCACAGAGCAAATAACCGGCAGTGGTGTGCACCACGCCCTTTGGTTTGCCGGTTGAACCTGACGTCTAGACAAGCGAGTCAGGACGCAATAAACACGATACGGACAATGGGTGCTCACATAGAGGATGAAGAGTGGATCCTCAGACGACATGACCTCCGGTGGACAATAGCTCGGTACTTTCGTAATCTCCTCGTGCCACCACTTGTCCCTCCCTGGAGTGAACGGCACATCGTTACCAGTACGCTTAAGCACGACCATGTGCTCCACAAGGGGACACTCCTTCACGGCAGCATCCGCGATGGCCTTGGTTGCGATCGTCTTTCCACCTCGCCTACCTTCATCGGAGGTAATGAGAATGCGGGACTTGCAATCCTGAACACGATCACGGAGAGATTCGGCGGAGAAGCCCGCGAAGATGACGGAGTGCACGGCACCGATACGGGCACATGCAAGGAAAGCCGCGATGGCGTGCCATGTCATGGGGAGGTAGATGGAGACGGTGTCCCCCTTCTTAACTCCGAGTCCTTTGAGAACATTTGCGAGACCGCAGACCTCACGGAGGAGTTGTGCGTATGTGATCTCGGCACCATCACCGGGTTCATCGGCCTCGTAGATGATGGCAGTCTGTATGAGAGGAAGCGTCTAAATGAAGATTCTTCGCAATTGAAAAACGAGAAGCTCGCCTTATCTGGATGCTTGAATGCCCAGCGATCTACGCAATTGTATGACGCATTCAGTCCACCTTCTGGAAACCAGACAATGTCGCCTGTCTCGAAGCCACCTGCGCGAACGGTCTGAAAAGGTCGGTCCCAATGAATCGTCTCGCGCGCCATCTAAGTACGAGATCAGTCAGCGGCAAAGCTCAAGAAGCAGCAGAACACAGGTGACCTTTGCCCACCACTTGTCGCTCTCATGGCCAAGCGTCTGCGCATGGAGGGATCTGGACGGAAGTAAGCTATTGGGCCCGACAGTGGGAGAAAACGGAAATTACTTGTAGGCATGAATATGAGGGCCTACGTGAGGCTGTTTCTTGCCATTTTTGAGTCTGGGTGCGATGGGGTGCGTAGGGACGGATTCATGATTGTTTTCAGACATGATGGGCGATGGAGAGATGGATAAGGCGGGGGAGGGGGGCGCGCTATATAGGAGGCTAAGCCGTACGCGTGATCATGCGATCGTTACGGAACGCCAATTAACAGCCGCCGTTGCACTAGCTCTTGGCGCCAGACGCTGTTGCCCTCCCGAACGCATGCACACAACTCGGAGCCTCTTCGCCTGCTACCTTCCACTTTCTAACTTGCCGACCCAATTCTGCTCATAACATGATTGCAGAAGTTTAACGACGCCACGCCTGTGCGAGCAATGGGGCCCCTTAGCTAGGCTGAAACGCGGAATAGCTGCGGCGGACTCAGGGACGAAAGGAGATCCACACAACTCATTTTTACCTCACACAGCTCAACAACTGATACCATCAGGCAACAGCCAATCGCAGTTTCTTCACGACTTACACCTCAAAGACGTCCACCCTTGGTCCACCCAGACACTCCGACATGACATGACATACCCACTCGGTCCAATGATACCCACTTCCGAGCCTCGTTCGGAAACCCGCAGGACACCACGTTCACGGCGTCTGAGGAATGTGCGCCTTTTTGAACATTTCCAGGCAAACATGACGGCACGAACAGCTTCTCTGTCTCCGGATATGTGCGAAGCACGTTAATAAAATCAAACCTAGCCGCATTCTCGCAACAAGAAATGCGCACGCTGCCTAGGCCTGTGAACACGACATGAAGAACCTTAGGACACAACGTATAGCCCATGATACTTACTGGTTTTGCAGATATCCGGCCATCAGGGATTCAAGTTTGTTATCGTGGACGCACTCATTGTTGTCAGACCACCGACCCCGCAAATTTAGTGCAGCCTAGGTTGATCCACCCCGCTTCCCCGCTCAGGATCAGCGATAACCCGTTTTGGAGAACGGGACAGCAACGAGACACAGGAAAGCAGAGTGCGGCTGGATCGGTCTCTTGAGATACCGAAAACCGCGCTTGAATTCAATTTATTGAAACGACGCATGTTCTGTGTGTCAACCGGAGTAATGCGCAGGTATCAATAGGGTTGCCTGCACCTAAGCCCGAATTGGCATGCAGCTAGCAGTTCATGATCCGCTTGAGACTGAAAACATCGCCCGGTGTTCGGCAAGGCGATGGATAAACAGATATAAGAACTACGATCCAAAAGTTGGGCAAGGTTCAAAGGAACAAGTTCAAAGTTGGATGATGATTTGGTTGTGGATCGTTAACCGCCCATCGCGCGCGAGGACCCCAGGGGTATGTTGTATGTAATCTAATCCGCGGTTGGGGTCGCACTTCGACGCGTCCAGTCGCGAAGTTACATTTATACGACCTCCATTGAGCATTCTCCTCCGGCTCACCACGTCCCCGAATGCCTGCGCGCTCAAAGTCTGCACAATTAACGCCTGCGAGGAAGAGCGGGAGCACAAAGTCCGAGCGGAAGCCCGCGTCACGGAGGAGCGGGGCAAGAAAGAGTGCCAAGTTGAATCCGGCTACTGTCTCAGCCGACGACTCGGAGGAACAGGCGGAAGAGTCGAGTGCGGAGGACGAACACGCGTACCAGGATGATGGAGTGCAAGAAGATGACGAGGATGACGAGCTCTCGTTGCACAGCGATGCACTGGATGAGGACTCGGATGATCAGGCAAAGAGGAGGCCGAATAAGCGGAAACGTAGCGCGCAATCGCGCTCACCGGTGAAGTTTAAGCAAACGGTAAACAAGAAGAGGAAGAATAAGGCAGAGAGCGAGGAAGACGACGACAACGACGCGTTGAACTTGAAGGAAGGTCAGGAGGTTGTAGGTACTGTAGTCCAAGCGCCGAAGACTGGCAGAGGTAGGTTCCAGTCAGTCTTCCTTTCAGAGGGTTTGGGGATTGTGTGTTGGCACGTAGCCCCTACATTTCGCCTATTTTGCCTTGCATGCTATTGTGCGAGCCTTGATGTAAATCCAGTTCGCTGACGATATCTTACATCCGCAGTACCAGCCGGACAGATATCTCGCAATACGTTCGATTTTCTGACACAACTCAAAAATCCAGAATGCAACGATCGCGAATGGTACGGGCCTTCAGCGACCGCATCTCCAATTCTTGATTGACTTTCCCTTGGCAACCAGGTTCAAGCTGCATGGTATGCTCTTCTCGCCCTGCCCAGTCAAAATCATTGATTCCAGATGCTAGAGCCCGTCTATCGCCTCGCAGAGAAGGAGTGGAAAGACTTCGTGGATGAGTTCACCAATGTCCTTGTCGAAATTGACTCCCAAATCCCACATCTGCCACCAAAAGATGTCATTCACCGTATTTATCGTGACGTGAGTGATCAATGTTCTGGGAAGCTCGGAGGGCTTCCCCGCAGTGAAATCTGTCGTTTTCTCGACGCGCGTGCAGTTGCGCCTAGAAGACTGAGGTTGACGTAATATTTACACCGTTGGTTTTGCGCAGATTCGGTTCAGCAACGATAAGACGCCGTACAAGACAGGGTTTTCTGCGAGCTTCTCGAGAAGTGGGCGGAAAGGCATTTTTGCTGCTTGTGAGTGCGCCCCATATCACAGTTGAGGAAGAGCAGTTGCTCAGATGTTCTAGATCACATGTTAGTGCATTGTATCGTTCAAGTCTGAGTGGAGTTCTGATGGTGATACCTGGGGCTTGGTCTCACTTCCATACAGCGCTAGTATGTCTTTCCCGTACCTCGTGCAGAAGGCACATATCTAATATCATAACACGGCGGCTAGTCAAACCTGGTGGACAGAGTTTGATTGCAGCAGGCAGCTGGTGTCCGGGTAAGAACGAACTTGCCACCATTCGGTTTGTTATTTTTCATCTTACTCTTCAATTACCTGATACCTTGACATCGTAGGAATAATCTCCTGCGCTCCTCAACGCGCTTCCGGAGACTCATATCGGCCCCTGAGTTCGTCAGGTATTTCGGCGAACCGAAGCCGCGTCCCGACGGAGACCGACAAAATATCTTTGGGGGCGAAGATGAACTGAAAGTTGCGCCGAAAGGCGTTGAGAAAACCCACAAGTGAGTTCGAAATCACTTACTGTCCTACCCCGTGTCGTTTACAGTAATGTTGCAGGGACATAGATATACTTAAATGTCGATCGTTCGCAGTTTTACATCGGTAAATTCCACTCATTTCACCCTCTTTCAACTGCTTGAACAAAGGCACTGCATGTGTAGATTCATGGACAGCGAAGTCCTTGCACCCGATTTTAAGGAGACCTTGGGGAAAGTAGTGCGAGTGGTGCGGCCTTTTGTGCATTGGTGAATTCCATCCTGAACTTAGTGCAAGCGCCCTCTACTTATGGCTCTATACAATTACGCAGCTTAAATGACCTGATGACTCTGCAAGATGCAGGAAACTCAGATTCGGATGACGAACATGGAGAAGATGAAGATGCAGACGATGATTAGCGCGTTGTTGCATGGTATCGCATCTAGTTGTTCTGCATAGCAATCTCGGTTGTATCGTTATGATATGAAGCATTTAATACTCGCACAGCTGCCGGTCATCCGTCGATTGGCGGGGTTGCGAAGTTGTGAAGTCACACACATTACTCAGGCTGTATGCTATACAAGTAATATCCCATTGCAGAAATGGATAACAACACAGCATCTGTTGATCAGTCCTTCTTCTGCTCTTGATACTGTTTGGCCCACTGCAATGAGTGCATGGTCAGGAGAGTGAGAACGTATACCGCTCTACAACACATACCGCCATTGAGGGAATTGGTCGGAAAGGCTCTATATGTCTGAACTGAAATAGAATCTCGTTGGTCAAATTACCGATAGAGAGTGGAGGAATAGCACGACGCACCTCCTTGTCTGCACTGACCGTCCAAGCGCCATATGTGATAGCGAGAATCCCTCCAAATGCGATGGCGGTATTTGCTCTCCAGTTTGAGGGCCGCGTCCACCACCCGCCTAACCAGATAAATCCACGCAATTGCAATGACCATCCATGCCAAAGGATCACAGACAATGCAGGCATTAAAGTGCATTTCTGTTTTAGTGCGAACGAGCGACGTACCAGCTGGCGACCACACCTGTTTGGGATACGGATATCTAGCACCTCCTCCCTGACAAACGAAGACACTTTAGCAATATAAGCTGGACTGGATGTGGCAATACTCACCATTCTGTTCAGATAGAAACGACTGCAAGACGAGACCCGTCCGTAGCCGCGATCAAACAGCGCACTTTTGCACGTGGCGGGTGGCAACGCGTTCAGCAGCGCTCAGCGCCTGACGCCATAGTACCCTGAATGCCAGTGTGCATGATCTGATCCTGACCCCAACGCATAACCCGCTAGGCATGCTGCACTCGGTCGCGAATTACTTCCACAAAAGACGAGAAGGTCTCCAGCGAGCTGCGGGGTACTTCGGCGGCGCGTACCTATTGGGGCAATATGTTCTGGGGCGGCTAGAGGACGTCCGCATGAAGGTCATGCAGGACCGGTTGGCCCAAGAGAAGTAAGTGCAGGGTATGATGAAATGTCTTCAGGAAGACGGACAGCTCGTGCTGAAATACTGTTTCTCTATAGTCTCAGGAGGAGGTTTGAGCAGAACCAGCAGGATGTGTCGTTTACGATTATGGCGCTCCTCCCGACGCTCTCGAGACATATCCTGGAGGGCATGGACGTGGAGGGCGTAACAAACGAACTGCAGGCGTTCTCGAAGGCGTCGAAGACACCGAACGGCCAGGCTGAGTCGCAGCCCTCCGCTCCTCCGTCTCACGCCTCTATTATACCGAGTATTGAGCTATCAAGTCCAAGCCAGGACGGCCATATGGAGAACGGGTCCGTCTCGTTCATTTCGTCTGTGCAGGACAACGATGCTTCTCCCACTATGTCTGCATCCACAACAAGCTGGACAGACCCGTTTCCGGATCTGTCCAGGAAGCCCTCGACCATCGGATCAGATTCTGAGATCATCTCCAGCCTGTCGAGCTCACAACATCATGTAGAGTGGTCAGGCTCTACGTTGTCTGCAAGCTCTTCGTCCAGTGCCGTCGCAGATAACTGTAAAACTGTGCGCATTTTGTCTCATTTTCGTGATTATAAACATTTACCCTTTCTTTTGGTAGTCACCACCGGAAAGCATTGCATCGGAAACATCAAGCTCAATGACAAGGAGTAAAGCAGAGTTGTGGAAAGAAGTGAAGATGCTAAGTCAGTCCTTTTTAGCTCCTCGTCGTTCCAATTTCACATCAATCATGGCAGCATTCACGAGAACACTGACAATAATATATTCTGTGACCCTTCTATCCCTTTTTACGCATATACAACTAAATTTGCTGGGTCGATCAAAATATATCCATTCGGTAATACAAGCTGAGCGGGAGGAGAGGCGGAGAGAAAAGCGCCAGTACGATTTAGAAACACTGTCGTTTCTCCGAGAGGATGAAGATTTGCAAGAAGAGCCGGAGGAAGGCACAAAGGATCTCGAGGCCGTGGATGAGGATACTGAGAGAAAGTATCTCACCTTGAGTTGGTGGATCCTTCACGTGGGTTGGAAAGACGTTGGTGAACGAGTACGAAGAGGCGTGGAAGAGGTGTTCGAGGGGTCAGTCCCGCACTAAGGGCGCATATACTCATGGCTGATCTCAGAGTGCATTTGAACAGGGTTTCACTCAAAACAAAGTTTTCAGTCGGTGACTTATTTCGACTCGTGAATGACGTTCGCCGGCGAGTGGAATATGAAGTGACTTTCGAAGGCCAGGAGCGGCGAATAAAGTATGTGTATTTTAAGTGGTCATCGAAGCTGATATAAGACTCTACTTAGCTTCATGTCTACACTGCTGCCGCCGACGATAGAGACATTGCAGCATGTTCTCGTCCAGGGCGGGATTCCTACTCGCGTCGCAAGTGCAACGGATGCGCAGTTCGAGTCCCTCCTTACAGAGACCCGCACCCACATTTTTTCTGCGTCGTTCCAACGCGTGCTGGAGGTTTGTCTTGACCAGGCAACAGATATGCTTTTTTCTGGCCTGCGGAAGAATATCTTCAGTGGAGAGACGATCGGATGCGGTGTGGACGGCGACGACCAGGAGGTCCGCGAACGCTTGGCCGCAATGTTACCCGGTCTGGGTAGATGGTGTCATTTAGCATTAGAAACCTATCCGAACGAATTGGTGGACGTATGTGGTCGATTTTTCTGTCAGTTGTTGCTGAACTGAAAATTTGCAGGGTTTGGCAGGACTCAGGGACATGGAAGCTCTTTCTGCTATTATATACTCAAGTTACGATGATCGTTTTCGATAGCTAATACTGATGGGACACGAGTGGAACTGAAGGATCGTCGATTTAAAACGCTTCAACACGCTGTGTAAGACTTCCTTCCTTCGTAAGGTCCTTGACCGCTCTAGTTGCTGGAAGCAATGCTGAAATTAATCAATCCTTCTTGCTCCAACGTCTCAGCTGCGATTTCTTTCCTTGGTGTCAACTGGTAAAAATCGACGAGTTGCTCTGAGGCTGATCTGGCTGGTTCTCTACTGAGATGGAGTCTATGGGATATTCATTTAATTGGTATTGGTTCACCTTATGCCGAAGGCAGCGTTCTTAGCATGACATTGAGTGAACTAATTCTACAATATGTAAGTCTTCATGCTTCTTCGTCTGTATCTAATTTTCACTGTGCAACTAGATTCTCTAAATCAATAGGTGACCCGTTGCTATTCAACCCTGCTTGGATGAACGCCACATCCTTGAGGGCCCCTGCGGGTGAACCCAGCCCGTTGTCAGAGCCCAAGATGGCATTGATGAAGAAGCGGATCTCGTTCGGCACTCCGTCCGTCTCCTTGTCAATGATCTCCTCTGTCTCTCCGATCTCCTTCCCATCTTGGTCACGCTTCACCGTTCTTATCGTGACGCGAAGGCCACCTACAGGACGGGAACCGTCAATAACCTTGACCTGATTCACGGACAACCATCCCTCGGTGCCAGTAATCGTGATACCGTTGAAGGCTTTCTCGGAACGGGATGCAGTTGGTGCTCCCCAGGTCAGTTCGACGATTCCGTGGGCTCCATCAGCTGACTTAACGACTGCGTTTATAGTGTCGTGAGGTGCCAGCCATTCCTTACTCAATGATGCGAAACCAGACAACGTTTTAAGGGGGCTCGGCATGATTGTTCGCAGAGCAGCGACAGTGTGCTGTCAAACACGACGGGTTGGATGAAGTCGATCCACAACATAAGTTGCGAGTACATACCACACCGCCGTCAAGCTGCGAAGCAATAGCCTCAGTACAATAAATGGGCAATAGCAATCGAATTGTACTCACCAAGAAGCCACCCTGATACTATGTTAGGACTCACGGTGAGTCCTCACGTCGAACGGGGCAATGAACATAATTGGACGTACGTCAGGAATAGTCCGCCATGGCGTGTTGTACCATTTGGACGCCTTATCTACGAAGTTGACAACTCGTGCGTTGTAATAGGTGATTTTGCCGATTTTTCCCTCCTTGACCGCTTGCGCAGCGGCTTGATATCCTGATTCCGTCTCATGGTTTTCTGCCACACGCCAGATTAGCCCTTTCGGCTTGTATGTTGTCTCGTACTCCTCGATCAGCTTCAAGCCGGATGCAACGTCTGGCGCGACAGGCTTCTCGCTCAGGACGTGTTTTCCCGCACTGAGCGCCTTGAGGATGATACTTGGCTGAGTCGTAATTGGGAGGACGACGATGACAGCGGATATGTCGGATCTTGCGAGAAGGACATCGAGGTTCTTGGATGCATCGTCGTCAAAATAAACGTCTGGTTTTTCGCCCAACTTCAAAGTCGCCTGGGCATCAGAAGCTAGCGCAGCGGCACTCTTCTCCGATCTAGAGTAAATGGCCTTGAGAGTCACAATTGAACTGCCTACAACTGCGATAGCTGGTAGATGGGCTAGTTAGGATTATCGATGCGTATCGTGGCCGCCTAGTCAGTTTCAATCCTGCATATCAAGCACAACGGCTGTCGACATACCCTCTCTGGCAAAAATTCCTGAGCCGAGGATAGCGATTCCTGTAGGAGCCATGGCGATGCGAGACGTTCAAGGTGTTTGTTTGTGCTCGTTTCAAACACTGGCGGGCATTTATGAGCGCGGCTCAGCGGCCTATGATGCCATCGGAGCCCCTTCCGTGGACCATCTGGGGAGACGATGTTGCAAGATTTTGCATTCGCGGAGAATAATCGGCCGGTCTAGGACAGAGGCTTACATCAGCTGCGTTCAACCTGCTCTAGCGCGGATGTCCGGGACGGGCGTGATAAAAAGGCATTTTGTGTAACGATCGATGTCGTTGCACTGAGCACTCGGCGCTGAACGCACGCCTATCTTGTGACCCGCCCTCTCCCGGATGCGATTGATCGGTGAGCCACTCTACCCTCTTCGAAGTTCCTCTGCATGTGCTTGAACGTCTAACCGCCTTCTGTCTCTGTTCATACGGAAGGATAAATATTCTATGCGCTGAAATTCAACAGGTTGGAGCACCTATCACCGCGTACACTCTTCTCGCGCATGGGGTGCAAGGGAGTTTATCGCGACCAGCCCTCTTCTCCGGATCTACTGATCCTTGCGGCGGCCCGTGCCTTGAAATTACCGAAGTTGAGACGAGCAAGACTCAGGTACGCGGCGACGCTAACGCAATCACCAGTGCATGTAACGATCTATACTGTAGCCTTGCGACAATGCTGCTGAACGGCGCGTGGGCTTCCCTCCAACTTTCGGAATCAACACAAACTTCAAGTAATCGTTTCCATTCGTATTGAGATGACTCTTCCGCCAGGAGTTGATTAGTACAAAGGAGCAAGTCATCGGAACCGTTCTCGCCTAAATTACATTTCCTGCTGTACAATTCTTCATCCTATACGTTTTGCCAAGGGAAGCAACCACTTACTTCGGATGCGAACAGTTTGCCACGAGTATTGACATATCATGTATTCACTCCACAGATGTTGAATGAAGGTCTGCCAGGGTCGCATTCAAAACGGATAAATCTCGGGTCACCTTCTCGAATATGCCGAATGGGATGAGATTATATCGGGACCACTGGTCCAGTGCTATTAAAGCATACATGATTGCTTGCAATCTCTCCCGCTAGATCCTCTCTTGACAGAATGCTTCTTCCAAATTCCTCTCCTCGCAGATTGCACAGGGACTTTTTGTGGGGGTTTGCAACCGGTAGGTTTTGTTTTTCTATTTCTTCTGTAATGCCCGCCGGGGTTTTGATACATTCATCAACAATGCCTGGGTTCAATGTTCACGCCGCTCATTTCTTTTGCAGCAAGCTTCCAGATTGAAGGCTCGACCAATGTCGACGGTCGCGGGAAGTCCATCTGGGATGACTTCGCCAAGCAACCTGGCAAGACACTGGACGGAAGGGACGGAGACGTTGCTACTGATTCCTACAGACTCTGGAAAGAGGACCTGGATTTACTCTCGTCCTATGGTGTAAAGTCCTACCGCTTCTCCCTTTCATGGTCCCGCATCATTCCCCTTGGGGGAAAAAACGACCCAATCAACGAGAAAGGCATACAGTTTTATTCCAACCTCATCGATGCTCTGCTGGCGAGGGGAATTGTGCCATTCGTTGTATGTGTTCGCTTATTTATTATTCCCAACTTCATTCTGACTGTCCACTGTCTCCAGACCTTGCATCACTGGGACCTGCCACAGGCCTTGCATGAGCGCTATGGCGGGTGGTTGAATAAGGAAAAGATCATCCCGGACTTTGTCAACTATTCTCGAGTAGGTATTATTTAATGCTCGTGATTCTGGCTCACGGTTCTGTGAATCAGATTTGCTTCGAACGATTTGGCGACCGCGTCAAGCATTGGTGAGAAAACCAGCCGTCCACTCCACTCTGATTGCATCATACGTTCAACACCATGTGTTCAGGTTGACTTTCAACGAGCCCTGGTGTATCTCCATCCACGGCTACGGTCGCGGTGTTTTTGCACCTGGTCGCTCAAGTGACAGGTCCCGCTGCCCCGAGGGCGATTCATCGACAGAACCATGGATGTAAGATTTGTCAAGCAATGGCTTGCGTTCGGGTCACGGCCTTTTTCGCTAACATCTTCTCTCCGTAGCGTCGGACATAGCTTGCTTTTGTCGCACGCGCATGCGGTTAAGTTATACCGCGATGAGTTCAAGCCCGCTCAGCGTGGTCAGATTGGAATTACGCTGAATGGAGATTGGGCCATCCCGTACGACAACACTCCTGCAAGTACGTCCTGTCTCGGTGGCTGTTGCCATTCATCTCGGCCCGCGTTGTAACAATGAGCTGAAATGGCGGGCCGCTCGGTTCCCGGTACTACCAGATATTGAAGCTGCCCAGCACGCTTTGGATGCTGCGATTGGTGAGCTTCTTCTTTACCACCTTCCACGCGCGTCCGCAGTATGCTGATGTCCTCCTGACCTACTGCTAGGCTGGTTTGCGGTGGGTATTGTGTTTTCGCGGCGTGCCTCATTGCCAAGCACTCTCATTCGTCTGGCACTGAGCCACATGGGCACCCTCTTTGTTACGGAAGGTTCACTAACTGTAATGCTTCTGGGTTCCAGGATCCCATTTATCTCGGGCATTATCCGGAATTTCTGAAGACGATGCTCGGCGAACGACTGCCGGACTTTACCCCGGAGGAAATCCAAGTGGTACTAGGCTCTTCCGATTTCTATGGCATGAATACATACACCACGAACCTTTGCAGTCCGTACCTCTGCTTACTGGTGACTGATGTTATATTTCTGATTGACGATATGCAGTTGCGGGTGGAACGGATGAACTGCAAGGCAAGGTCAAATACACGTTCACGAGGCCAGATGGCACCCAGCTTGGTACACAAGGTTAGGGTCTAGTGGCACACGCTGTCGCATTTCTAATGCTCAACGTTTGTTCCCAGCGCACTGCTCATGGTTGCAAGACTGTGGGTGTAGACTTGACTTTACGCGAACAGAACGCTAAAGTGCGCGTGATTAGACCCCCAAGGATTCCGGGAGCTGCTCAACTACCTCTGGACGGTCAGCTTTCCTTCAGTTGTCATTACTCAGCGCGCTCATGACACTTTGGTTGCAGCGCTACCGCACACCGATATAGTACGCAGTGCACCCAATTCGCCAGAGATTTCCCGTGACGTGCTGATGCGGTACCTCAGTGTTACTGAGAACGGCTTCGCCGTCAAAGACGAGAATAACAAGCCAGTTGAGGAAGCGTTATCCGATCGTGAACGTGTTGAATATTTCCGTGGAACAACGCAGTCAGTGCTGGCTGCTGTTGTGGAGGATGGCGTAGATATACGGGCATACTTTGCATGGAGTAAGTGCTATCGCTTATTTGCAATGATTGACTGAATGCTTATCCGTCTGTCAGGCCTTTTGGACAATTTCGAATGGCGAGTGATGAGGCTTTGACACGAGTTCTTCGTTACTGATTATCGAGCATTTAGGGCGGATGGATATGTCACTCGCTTCGGCGTAACCTATGTGGACTACGAAACGCAGAAGCGGTACCCCAAAGATTCTGCAAGATTCATCTGCCATGTATGTAAATAGCTACTCTTTCACCTAGAACACTGCTGATCTAAACCGCCGACGTCTAGTGGTTCAAGGAACATCTCGCGAAGGATGAACCCGCAGAAACCCCGTCGGAGGCGATCGCCAAATTGAAGGATGACGCCCAGCTTGTCCATGCCGTCGTAGCGTGATGGTGTATTGGTCTATGTAGATGGTATGATTGCGCGGAAGAATGCGTATGTATTTGTAGCGTCAGCTGGACGGCATCGGGGCGCCTTGGGTTGTGCTGGCAGTGCGACGCCCGGAGGTGCTCTCGACGAGTTGGCTGCAGCACGCACAGATGTGTATTACTACCCATTGACATGATGTACCATGTTTCTCCTGAGGCATGAGCTACCAATGATTCGCGCCAGCAGTGCTTGCCACAAGCAGTAAGTATGAGCATGGGCGTCTGGCAGAGGGGGCTGGATGATGTCCCACGGTCCACGGCTCTGGAGGGACCTTCTGCGCCCGCCGAGCACTCCCGACTTCATGCTTGCCATGTTTTCAAACGATCCGGGCCACGCCGATAACACCCCTCCTCCTGATTCCGCGTCGACCGACTCAGGTCTCCAACACCACCTCGAAGGCTCCGGTCACGGCGACCACGAAAATGATGGCCCCGGAAAGAAGAAAAAAGGCCCCAAGCGTCGCAAAGTCAATCATGCCTGTCTCTACTGTCGTCGCAGCCATATGACCTGCGACGAGGGTCGGCCCTGTCAGCGGTGGTAGGTTTCTGGCTCTCGGAGCAACAAGGCGTCGGATTTAACTCCTTATCGTCCTTCAGCATCAAACGCGAAATTGGACATCTCTGTCACGACGAACGTCGTCCGCCTCCGAAGGACAAAGCGCCCTCGGCCAGTAGCGGGTCAATCCCGAATCCGCCAGTAGACGTTGCGCGAGCATTGCCCGGTAAGCGTCGTCCTCTCCTTCACAGCACACTGCACAGGCTCCCCACATCAGTCTTGCGCGCCCTTTTACTTTGACTTTCACCGTGTGAGCATCTGGCGAGATCGATCCTTCTTTCTCTCCAGCTTCTACAGCAATGTACATGAAGCATCATAACTTTTAAGGCGAGCATTGGATCCTTAAATTACACAAATAGTCATGCTAGATATCCTTCCACTTAGTCACACGATTCACGAGCTCGCATATATTTGCGACTGGGACTGTCCTATGTCTATCATCTTAGCTCTCTCTCCGCAATCTAACCGGCCTTCTGACGACGATGTCTACTGTCTTATATCAGGAGCTGCGCAATTTGCCCCGGCCCCAATGGCGCCGGGTATGAACCCTCAATGGCCTGGTATGGGTATGAGCATGGCACAGGGAGCGTTCTTGTACCAACCGGAAGCTCTGAATGAATTTTCTGTTTTATCGTCAGTTTTGGCTCTTTGGGCATGCCAGAGACATATTGACCATTACGTAAATTCAGGGACTTCCTCGAGTCGTTAGACGACGGCTCCTTTTTCTCCCAACCTGGCGCTGTCGGACCTTCTCTCATGTCTCCAACACCTTACAATAACTCCGTGCCCCTCGGGGTTGACAACTCATACCTTCCTCCTCCACCAACATCCCATCCATCTGAGCCGCTGCCTTTGGCACCTGAGAGACCGCCAGAAGAGCCTGCGCCTGTTGTTCTCCCAGCCGCGACGAAGACTGAGAAGTTCTTCTTGACGGCAGCCGACCAAGCGTCGGGCTCGCGCAATGAACGGCTCAATATGGTTATTCGTAGCAAGTATGAGGCTGGACTACTAAAGCCATATAACTACGTCAAAGGCTACGCACGTTTATCTCGGTGGATGGACAGAAAGTGTGTAAATGCTACTCCGGTCCAGTATACTGGTGTGCTAATGCAACCGCAGCGTCTCTCTCGAATCTAAGCAGAAGATATTGCAACCTCTGTCTGTGCTGAGACCCAAATTCAGAGTGAGATTCCGACCCCGTCATGCTTCCTGCTCTAACCATGCATGGTATAGGCGATTGCTCAATCTGAATCTCTGACAGATATAGTAAGTGAATTCAAAATTCGTGCGTTCTCGGATGCCGACCCGTCGCAGGATCTGGTATTCATTGAGGAAGCCTTTGAGCGTCTACTGCTTGATTATGATCGTGTGTTTTCGGCAATGGCGATCCCGGCATGTCTATGGCGACGCACGGGCGAGATCTACAAGGCGAATCGTGAATTTGCGGAACTTGTCGGCGTAGACGGATACATGCTGCGGGATGTAAGTGTCTGATTATCCTGCATCGGCATCTGTTGACCTGTCTTGAAACACAGGGTCGATTGTGTATCTACGAGCTCATGGCGGAGGATTCCGCAGTGAATTACTGGGAGGTGCGCAATGTGCCCTTCGTACTTGCACCATTTTTCCTTATAGTCCTTTCTCCAGAAATACGGCAACGTAGCATTTGACTCAAATCAGAAAGCCGTCCTTACATCATGCGTCCTTCGTTACAAGCCATTCATCCCCTCATCAGGCTCTACAACCCCTTCCCGCGATAAAAATCATCAGTCTCCCCAGACGGAGGAAGGCTTCATCAGCTGCTGCTTTTCATTTACCATCCGCAGGGACCCATACGGGATCCCAACACTGATTGTGGGTAACTTCATCAAATGTTAGATCTGTTTGCTGCAAGTCTATGGTCGCTCTTTGTTCATATCGTGCATTGCTATTTGGTATAATATGAGACTGGTCGAATGTTGAATTGAACGCTGTACAGTATTTAATTGTATCCATGGCGTGGGTGTGCTCTTCGCCATCCGAACAAGATTTCTTGCTTTTTGTTTCCTAAATCCTCAATCCTAAATCCGCCCGGTTTGAAGGTACGCTTGAGTATTTGAGCCGTTGATCAATGTGTTTCTGTACCGTGTCCGAACCGTGCCGAGCCTCCGTCAAACGCTCTCCTGTGAACTTTAACCCTCGACATGCGTATGGCATTTGAATGTTGTGCGGTCGCTCTTTCACCTAATAACCTCCATCCAATTGTTCTTTGATGTCTCCACGAGGTATAAAGTGCGCAGCTCAACGATTGCCGCGCAAGAGATGTCGCTACCACCACTACGTATAGAAGTCGAGGCGGACCCGCTGGACGATCGAAACTGGGTTCATGTCGACGGTTCTTCGGACGGTAGCAGCTCGCAGCAGCATACAGCCGATCCTACCACGAGCGATGGGTTTCTGGGGATTACTCGTCCGCGCAGAAGCATAGATGGCTCAGGTGCGACAAAGAGACATCGTCCCCTTTCGACGAGCTCACTTCCCTCAGGACTTGGTGGTTCAATCCGCCGCAAGCTACGAGAGGTCAAGGATGCCAGTGCCAGGAGCTTCAAGCGACGTCCGAGCTCTGTCTCCAGGGCGTCAGAGTCAGCCGTCGACTCTGACTGCAGCGCGAACGGATCGCAGCTCTTTGGTCCATGGGAGAACGGAAAGAAGCGAGAATATCGATCGCAGTCCGAAGTCCTCTCAACGCGACCATACGTGCACCACAACATGAGCTCGTCGTCTATTTCGGCGGCGCGCCAAGCTGATCCGCTCTTGCGCTCTTCTCCTTCCCCCCCGAAAGACTCGCCGAGACAGAAATTCGAGGACGTCTTCATTGACGACGATGACCAGGTTGCCTCTTCGGCCGCAGAGTTATCCTCCACATTGGGCGTGGCGCAGGACTCGACTATGCTGGATGTGACTGTGCCACAGCTTTTGCAACAAGGTGTGCCTATGCTGAAGGTGTCTGCGAAGAAGCAAAAGCGGGTGATGATCAAGCTAGACCCTGATCAGGGGCAGATAGTTTGGGAATCGAAGAAACATAGAATAAGTATGTGTTCCCTGTTGGGTCTCTTCCACTCGCTCGCGTAGCTTACCCCTTTCACAGTTCCCATAGAGAACATCAAGGAGCTGCGTGCAGGTGCAGATGCTCGTTATTATCGTGAACAGTTCCAACTTGCGCCACAATTCGAGGACCGGTGGCTTACAGTTGTGTACGTGCTGGACGGAGGCTACAAGACTCTGCACTTGATTGCATCGACGCGCGATGTGTTTCAGATGTGGGATACTACCCTGCGCGGACTGTATGCTATCCGACAAAAACTTGGCAGTGAGCTGGGCCATACGGAAGTTCGTCAAGCCGTGTGGGAGAAACAATTCTGGCGTAGTGCGGCTACCGAAACTGATGCGGATCAGCTACTTGATTTTGCGGAAGTAGAGCGTATGTGTAGACGTCTTAATATTCATCCGGCTAGGGAAGAGCTGCTTCGCGAGTTCCAGGTGCGTCCATCCGTATCCGCCTCTCCTCATTGGCTTTGACAATACCGTGACTTTTAGCAAGCCGATAGTCAACACCGTGGGTATCTTGACTTTACAGATTTTCAGCGATTCGTGAAAGCCTTGAAACGACGCCCGGAGGTTGAAGCATTGTACATTTATGTGACAAAGGACAGTGGGGGTGCGCTTACCTATCATGCATTCGAAAATTTCATGCGGTCCTCTCAGAAGGTATTCATATCTTCTGAGATTCAGTAATGCTGAGCTTAATCCTGGTACTCCTTAAGTCGTCCCTTGGAAGATCAGAACTTGAGCGTATTTTCCTCCGCTATGCAACAACCTTCCCCGATGATCATAACAGCTCGCCTCCATCTTCTCCGCCACAACGCCCTCTGGACCTTGCAGCGCGGTCGCCTACACCATCGTCGCAATCTCTTGGCCAGGCTAGCAGTTCTGCGGCCTTACCAACAGTACCAATTACCCCAACATTGCCATCTGCATCGGTTCACTCTCAGGATGAAGCTTGGATGACTTTGAAGGGCTTTACGACATTCCTTCTTTCGACAGACAATTCAGCATTTTCCGACCAGCATGGCAAGGTCTACCATGACATGACACAACCACTTCCGGACTACTTCATATCCTCGTCGCATAATACTTATTTAGTTGGACATCAGCTTGTCGGAGAGAGTACCATTGAGGGGTATATAAGGGCGCTCTTGCACAGCTGCCGAAGCGTGGAATGTGAGTTTCCAGCGCCTACGAACACCTGCAGTATTAACTGATTTTGTAGTGGACATCTACGACAGTGACGCAGAGCCAGTCGTTTATCACGGGCACACGTTGACATCAAAGGTCTCACTTCGAGATGCATGCACTGCAATCAACAAGTATGCATTTGTGGCATCTCCCTACCCCATTATCATCTCAGCCGAGATCCACTGCTCCGTGCCACAGCAAGATATGATCGCCAGCATCATGCAAGAGGTATTTGGCGATGCACTTGTGTGTGCGCCTATCGATGGGACACCTCAGATAGAAACACTACCTAGCCCAGAGGATCTCAAAGGTCGCGTGCTATTAAAGGTTGGTATCAATGCTTCATCTTCTCCCCCATAGATGGCCCATCTAATTGGATATGTAGGCCAAAAATTTATTTGTTACTGATAAAGATAGCAAGCAGGAGAGAGAAGCCGTCTCTGATGCAGAGTCATCTTCCACTGAAAATATCTCTGACTTGGATTTGGCAGAAGATTCGCGGCGCAGAGGGCGGGAATTTGATGCTGATATTCGCCGAGGTGAGCCCCATAATATTAGACACAGTATGATGTTGGTCGTGATTCCGTGTGTCCAGACCTTCGGCATGAATTCCAGAGGGCCCGGACTGCATTAGTGCGCGCAGCCCATAGCCCTCCGCCCGCTCTGTCGCGTTCACCACGACATAACGCATATGAGCTTCCGCCCAGTCATCGCTCCCCCTCGAAAACAAAGATGTCGATGGCTCTGGCCGCGCTTCTAGTTTACACTATTGGGGTCAAATGTCGCGGACTGAACAAGAAAGAGGTATACGCACCTGAGCATATGTTCTCACTCTCGGAGAATATGGCGAACCGAATCCTGAAGCAGGGAATGACAGATTTGATTAAACATAATCGGATGCACCTCGTCAGGATATACCCGAAGGGTACGCGGATCGGCTCGACCAACTTCGAGCCACATAGGTTTTGGTCTGCAGGCGCGCAGCTGGTGGCGATCAACTGGCAAACTTTCGGTGAGTGAGTGAAAGATCTGGCTCGCTCAGCTTCTGATTCGTATGCAGACATGGGCTACATGATCAACCACGCAATGTTTCAGAGAAATGGTCGCGTGGGATACGTGTTGAAGCCGTTAGCGTTACGTACATCAGACAAGCAGCTTTTGGTCAAGCACACTAGTCATCGTCTTGACGTTGTCGTAAGCATCCATCCGCCTCAGACCACGCAGCTCGGACAGTCCTGATAGATGCTTTCAGATCATCTCTGCACAGCAGCTCCCCCGTCCGAAGGACTCGCAAGGCCGTGAGATCATCGATAAATCCGTAATTGACCCTTATGTTGAAGTGTCGATACACGTTCCTGACTGGCCTCAGTCGCCTGGAAATCTCACTGCTTCACGGAATAGCTCTCGTGTGCGGTCTCCCTCAAAGTCTCCCGGTCCATCTGGCGACTCCCAACGGACTGCGACTCCCGCACGGACCGTGGCGCAACGGACGGGAGTGGTGAAAAACAATGGATTTAACCCGGTCTGGAAGCATCCTCTGAGTATTCCTTTTGACCTTGCCGGTGATATGCGGGACCTGGTCTTCGTGCGATTCGCAGTGCGGCAGGACGGGGCGTCGGACGATGAACCGCTTGCAGTGTATTGCGCCAGCTTGGGTAGTTTGAATATGGGTATGCAACACTGTCCGTTGGTGTACAGTGATTGAGCTAACAAAGGCACAGGATACCGACATCTTCCTCTGCACGACGCTCAGCTCTCGCAGTACTTGTTCTCAACTTTGTTCGTCAGGCTCAATGTCCGCACCTTGTGATATCTATGCATATCTTCAAGCACAACGTGCCGTTGTCTTTATGCATCGCACTCATCTACATCACTATCACTATCTTTGCCATCCGTAGTTTCCTCTGCGACAGTGGCTCAACGGGGTTCGTTGTATCGGTCGTCACACACCCTACATCCATCACATTTCTACCATCATCTAACTTATTTCTTGCACCATGTACGGTAGATAGATCATCAAGAATGAAAGCAAACCAATATAACATAACGTGATAAATCGTACAGTCTGTCCTAACAGCATAGATATCTTGTGATGATCATAGGAGACGCAGATGGGAAGGTGAAGCAATCATGGGGGGCATGCGAAACGTGATAATGAAAGCAATGGATCAAACGACGAGATGTGAAGAATAGAAATAGAGTCGGTGTCTGCCTCCTCATGGGCTTAATTACTTCGGAGGAGGAGTCGGGGGACCTGCAGACGGGAGATTGAAATAGCCGTCAGAAGATAGTAGAAAAATACTGACCAAACAGACCAACGCGGGACGGCGCATGATCAGAAAGCATTGGCGAGTTGGCGTTCGCCTGGAGAGGCTGGGGAGAGAGCAGTGGATTTGCTATGTACAACGAAGATTGAGCATTCTCGACGGCAGAATGGAGACGAGTAGACAAAATTGATACATACGTTTCCACTGGGCCCAAGCGGGCAGATTGGGTGCAGGTGGTTCGGGTATGGCCTGGACCGGCTCGGGTGGCGGAAGCGCCTTTGCTTTGGCCTTCTGGCGGCGCTCCTCACGCTTGTTTACTGTACGCCATCCGGGTCGGGCGGGGCCCTCTGGGAGCGCAGGTGGGGGTGGAGGTCCTGGTGAGGCTCCTGGTGAGGGCTCGATGGGCATCGGAGGCTCTTCGTGCTGCGGGGAGATGGGTTGTCGTTAATAAAGTAAAAGATAATCGAGACAGGCCTGCGCACTCTGGGTTTCCAATCCGGGGTGTACTCTCCACCCGCGCCATGTTTGGACTTGACACTCATGAGTTCTGCAATCTCACTACACCATTCCGATGAGCGAGCGATCGTGTTTTGTCCTGTGAGACGTGCGGCTGTGAGAACAAGAAACGGACATACTATTGCAATGCACGCCGCTCATCTCGGAGCTTGCCCACCTCCTGCAGAAGGATGCGGACCTCGCTGGCGAGAGCCTTGCTGAAATCGTTGATGTACCTGTGGATCAGGACGACACACAAAGGTGGGCGGTGTCTCAGAGCTGAGCCTCAGTCGAGAAAACGACAGCTGCGCACTTTGGCGGGGAGACAGGGTTCCCCTTCGAAGACATCGGGAGATGGACGAGAGGCTGTGTGGTGAAGAGTTGAAGAGATACAAATGCTCTGTTCTCAAGCCCTGACCCAGACGGAGGTATTTAATTCATGGACAAGTTGAACCCGCGCAAGCGCTCGGAGGGCTCAATTAGCCACATGCCCTTCCACCACGCCACCGCGTGCAAACCTCAGCCTTTTGCGCATCGACTTGGCACCTAGGTGTTGTCTTAGCTGCATTATGAGACACATCACTTGAAGTGTTGACCACTCGAGAACCAGCGTGGTGCGTGCTACTTATTTTTTTTTCACACAGGTAGCGACGGAATAGTAACTTTCAAGCAGACTGCCCCAGAATATAACAGCGAGCGTGGCCGATAATCACTCATAGCAAATTATTTCCCCTTATATTGTGGGTGCCATGCACGATGTATTCGTGCGGGCATCGCGTGCATGGTGTCCAAACCTATCCGCCTTGCAGGACTACTTCTCAACATACTTGGTTAGAAGGCTACCATGCTTTCACAGGTAGGGTCCGAAATTCACTACTTACCATGTATCGTGACGTAGAAAATCCTGCATCTTCTGCTAACGCGATCCATCTGTGGTTTCGCAAAATTTTCCTTTATTTTCCCTTTTTCAACGTCGTGATTGAGGTGTCGTATTCAGCATGGCATAATATTCTCTCCGCTGCGACACGCTTAACAGACTCCATAGATATGAGCGTCTGATGCCGTCCAAAATCATGGTTTACAGTCTTTTACAGTTGGCTCAATTCAGAAATTATATCAGAGGTGGCAGGCAACGCATGCATAAAATGCGGGACAAACCTTCTCAACGTCTAGCTCTTTGATCTCCACAATGATGGTCTTAAAAGCATGATTGTTGCGTCGATATCATGTATTAAGCCGCGTCCTACCAGGTCCTACCAGACCATGGTACTACGACACTGATTGAATAAATGATATTGACAACCGAACATCTTCCGCCGACGAGCCATTCTTGTTTGGACGAAACATCATTGGAAGCTCCGAACATACAAATGGTCTCTTTGATAACTTCAACCACACGTGGGCACTTTTTTAGTGCTGTATCTGATGAATCAGAATGTCTACCCGTAGTATGACCTGTAATCCTGTCGGGTCGACCCTGCGTCAAACAAACAGAGGAATTACCCTGGTCGGAAGCACGGAGGAATGGCCACCGCAGCAACATAAATCTGTCATCGAGTGTAGTCGCAGACAAACGGTGCGCAGTATCGCATTGTTGAATAAATATAATACATATGACTGCGTTCGACTCCCTGTAAGTGAACGAAATAGCCATCGAGAGTCCTCCATGACACGACACAGACATGATACACCAAATGAAAAAGTCACTACTGTGGTGATCAACAAGGGCGAGAATGCGCCCGTTCGGATTGTACTTCATCATTTCGAGGGGTCTGCTCCTTTTGGGGCTGTCAAAAGTACTTTCGTAGGGCAGCTAAGGGGCCCTCTTTCTACGGGATCCGAGAACCTATCGGTGTACTCTCCGGGCACCGGCGAGTACGACTCGGACATACTCATCATTGGTACCAACCTGACTCGTCAAGAAAGTGAGTTGTTTTCCGTGGGACATTTCAAGGACAAAAGCTACAGTCGTGCATACTCAACACAACTCCCCTTTATGTGCCTTTTTACAACTTGTCCAGGCCAGCTACCGTGAATAGCGGTAGCCCGTAGGTAGTTCGTACTAGGTGTGCGTACCGACAAAACACAATGATCCAGGAAAGTAAATTGGAGAACGCACTTTACCTAACGTTCCTTAAGAGAATACATTTCAACATATGATATAGCATCTAGTCGACCTCGAGTCAATGGCACTAGTGATTATCGATATCTGCTTGAACTTTAACGTGAACCTGTACTTATGTGAAAGCTGCAGTGAATTCCAACTCGGACTGACTCAACCTCGGAATAGGTTTCCCTATTTTGGAATGTGTTATGTAATCTAATGCTACGGCCGACGGTATCCGCACTGTTGCCGCTGGTCTCCCGCATTCTTGAACTCGTCCCTCTCCCCTTCCACACCAACATGTTGTCGACACGAGCTCTGGGTCTTGGACCCGCCCTCAGGCAAGCCGCTCTCAAGCCAAGGCTCTGTACGTGTCTTTCTGTGTGCAGACGAGATTGGGGTTCAATGCTTTTCCGAATGCAGCACAGGCACCAGCTCTTCGGTCATTGGTCGCCAAACGGTGATTCGTAGCATGTTTTGTATACTTTGTCTATGCTAATCTACCTGTCAAATGCAGTACCATCCAAACTCAATCACTTCCCCCCTCCTCTTCGCAGGAGATCCTCAATGCGCAACGCCTGAAGCGTCCCTCTAGCCCCCACTTCACCATCTACCAATTTCAGCTGACATGGCTGGGCTCGATCGCTAACCGTATGACGGGTGCAGCTCTTAGTGTCTGTGCGTGACCTTTTTTCTGTGTTCAATATCTCCCCTCGGTTGAAGAGTCTCATAATCTACTTCGCAGTGCTGTACGGATATGCTATCGCTTATCTCGTCGCCCCCACTACGTTTGATTCGGCACATGTTATCGAGTTAGTCGCTGGCCTTCCGGACGCCGTGAAGATTGCTGGCAAGACCATTCTCGCCGCGCCGTTTGCGTTCCACTCCCTCAACGGTCTGCGACATTTGAGTTGGGACATGGGTAAATGTACGTCATCTCGTTTCGGTTTGAAACCGCCACCATGCTCATGGAATGTCTCCAGTCCTCAGTTTGAAAGGCGCCTACCAGTCCGGCTACGCGGTCCTTGGTGCTACCGCCATCGGCACCGTTGCCTTGGTGCTGCTGTGATAACATGTAAATCGGGTTTGAATGCAAGTGTAGAATGTTTGCCATTCGTACGGATGAGTTATCCGACGGTCTCGCGAATTACATTGTCTCACGGCGAAGATGTTCAGCGCCCTGCATGGTGAATGTCTAGTTGCAGCTTAATGACATGTAGCAAGCCTTGGACTAGAATTTTGACGTATATTATCACTGACTGCAGGTGTGCTTATCACAACCCAAACAATGGTGAAGCACACTTATAGAATCACCAACATTTACTGATTTTGTTTGGGAATGCGGTGAACAATTTCGACTGCTCAAGTACCCGTCAGGATTACCCTCGCTACAACTTGACACGGATAAATACTGGGTATTGGGGAAATGCAACAATGCATATTGGAGTCAAGGCAGGTTACAATGCTGGGGCTTACAGAACGCATGCGAGACCTCAGGTTCACTGATCAAAACGTGCTGTCTGTCAAAGACAGCGAAGGGTCTCAAGTGACCAACTGATCAGGCAGATACCTTCTCACGAGTCAGTATTGAAGTGCTTCGACGTATCAGAGTCCGTTAACAGTAAATGTATTGACACGATAAAGCTGACTTACGAAAGGATGTTACGTGCGAGGAGTCTCGGAAACCTAGGAGAGAAACGTTGCTGCCATTCTCTCTCGTCTGGTGCTATGCCGCACGGGGGAAATAGAAATATGATACTGACTGTCTTCAGATTGGGAAACCGGGTAGGGTGAAAATATTCATCTATCTTGTGACATTGAGAAAGGCTTAAGCTAAGTGATGAGAGCCGAGGCTCCAACAGTGAGGTGGATGAAATCCACTCATAGCGGCGAAAGTCGAAGCAAACAGATAAGTTCGAGAAAGCTTTGGAAGCAATCGTGGACAGAAATGCGTGGAGCCAAGTCTGATCAGACCCCACGCTGGCTGGCGTCGTTCGAAGCCTTAAGTCTTTGAGGCGAGTATTCTGTCCGAAGTTGACATTGTCTTCTGCGATTGGTGTCAAAAACAGCTTCGAAGAATATAGTAATATGAACGTACCGATTGTCTTCACCACAGACGAAGGTTTCATACCAGCAAATCCGAAGTGAACATCAAGCGTGCAGAGACTCGTTCCAGCGGTTTGCAGCAGCCGTTGGATTTCCAGGGTTTTAACATCGCGTAGGTGAATCGGTACCCATAAGCCCAGCGTAATGTCATGCAACTTCGTTCCGATGGTACTTATGACGATGAAATCAATGATCTCTTTCATTGAATTTCCACTTATTGAGAGCTCGCTTAAGTTTGTGCGTACCAGAACCGTACTTCGATCGAAATGGGGGGTGGAAAATGACAGGTCCCAACATAGCAGACGTCTCAAGCTCGGTAGTGAGCAGATGAGACGACCAAAAGAAACCATGGAAGGAAATGTGACCTCGTTAAGTGCCAACCAAGTGATCGATGTGAACGAAGCAAGATGCTGGAAGAAATCCGGATGAATCGCGCTCGCACCCCAGTCGGCGCGCCATATCGCCAAGAACTTAACCTTTGACTTTCCATTGAACATGGTTGCGAACGTCCCTGAATGCGGCACAGGTTTACGCTCCCCCCTGTGTCGGCTCCCCCTAATGAATACATCTTTGACTGCATCCGCGAAGAATGACCTCTTGGATACCAGTCGAGCGAGAGAGGACGCTTGCCTCCGGTCATAGAGATAGACTCGGCCTAGGAGGTGAAGACGACTTCGCGGATACCAGTTCTTGCACACGAAAGCGCATGCCATGAGCGTGCCAAAATCACCCCAGAGGTAATCAATGACGCGCTCCCATACTTCGATAGGAAGCACAGGAGTGGCCGCAACTACCGACGGCCTGGCGATCCTTGATGTGTGGGATTTGGAAAATAGCTTGGTGTCTCTATGTCCAATCTCTGCAAGTCGCTGCTTTGAGCGCAAACAGAAGGACAAGCATAATGAGCAAAACTTGGACTCACGAAGGCCAATGTAGAGCACAACTTCATTGATTTGATCTCGTCGCCGTCTCCGTGACACCGACATGTCTCGATCCGATGTAGGGAGCGACAACCCATAGTCGGTGCGAATAGGCGCAGAGACACCTCATGGCCACGAAGGTTTGAACTTTGTTGCGATTCTGCGCGCTCAGACGTTATCCCATAAGTACTGCTGGAACTACCAGGACCGTGACTAGCCACTCGGCCTATATATGGAAGGGACCCTTCGCGTGCACGTGACTGACGCGCTGAAACGCTTTAAGTTCGGCGCGTCGCGTCAGGCGCTTGTCGCCTTTCCCGACCTAGCGACACCAGAGCGACTCGTATGGCGCGCACTAGCGCCCTCACGGGTGTGTCCACCAACACCAAGAAGCGAAAATCGACAGGAAACGCCATAGATGGCGAGAAGGATGCCAAACGACGTCGCCATACTCTCGACGCCTTTTTCTCGCCACAGGTGGTGGCATCAAAGACTTCCAGCGACCATAAGGAGTCCAGAGAAACCGTCATCCTGAATGAGGAACAGAAGAAAGTGATGAAAATGGTGGTGGAAGAAGGAAAAAGTATCTTCTTTACCGGCGCCGCGGGTGAGTCTACACCTTACGTGAGGAAACCGCCACAGGAGGGCGCGGCCCTCGGGACCTAGGCTATTCTTTGGTCGCGAATGGAAGATGACTTATGTTTATATAGGTACGGGAAAATCTCTTCTCCTTCGCGCTATAATTACTGCGCTCCGACGAAAGCACGCTAAGAAACTCGATGTAATCTCCATTACTGCGAGCACGGGCATGGCTGCGTCGAACATAGGCGGTAAGCCGTCACGGCGACTGTCTGAGATTGCGTAGCATTGACTGGCTCTAGGCATGACGATCCACTCTTGGGGTGCCGTAACTCCGGGGATGACCGATGTAGAAAGGCAAATTAGCTGCATCAAGACTTGTAAACCTGCGTTTCAACGATGGAAGACCACGAAGGTTCTTATAATTGATGAGGGTAGGTTCCTATTGACTATATTTGTCTATATGCGTCCTCACAAGTAGTAGTATCGATGGTTGACGGGCAACTGTTTGAACTGCTAACAGCCCTTGCGGACAGACTACGGAAGAAGATCGACAAACCCTTCGGTGGAATACAGGTGCATTCAGCATATTGAGCTGAAGTCTATGATGGGTCTCATGCAGATGTTGTTAGCTCGTTGTTACCGGCGACTTCTTCCAGCTGCCGCCAGTTACGAAAGCTAATATTGAGCCATTTTTCGCTTTCGAATGTGATGCCTGGAAGCGCTGCATAGAGCATACAGTCACTCTCACGCAAGTTTATCGACAGACGGATACTCGTGGGTGCTACTGATATTCATTGTCCAATCTAGCGTTGACTTACGACGATGTGACGATCAGAATTTGTATCATTACTCAACGAACTACGGCGTGGGGCAATATCGCCCTCCGCACAGAAGACTTTCACCTCCCTTTCTCGACCTCTTCCCTCGATTCCGACTGGACTTCTGCCTACAGAGTTATATCCACTACGCGCTCAAGTAGACAGCGCAAACAGCACACGCCTTGCAAAACTATCCGGGGCGGCGCGCACATACGCTGCGCGCGACTCCGGCACGAATACACGCATTCTAGAACAAATGGTTACCCCTGCGAGTCTGGTGCTCAAGCCGGATGCGCAGGTCATGCTGGTGAAGAATGTTGACGAACGTCTTGTCAATGGTTGCGTCGGGCGTGTCCTCGGCTTCTTCAATCTCACTGCGTGCAATGCATCTACGGGGATTCCGGCAGATATCACTCTCAGTACTAGCACGGGATCAAAACCAAGATCGGCCTCTCAGGAGTCTGCGAATGGGAGCTCGAAGAACAACGGCTTTGTGAGGAACGTGCGAGTCGGGCCTGACAATCGCACTCCTGTGTCCCTATGCTGTGAGGGTAAGGAGAATATAAGCGGATTCTCCGTGAAATGCCCCGAGTCAAAGGGTAAGGGTACCGCGAAGGACGAGGAGCTGTTCCCACTTGTAGAATTCCGCACAGCGCACGGCTCCGAAATTGTCCTCATTGGACGCGAAGAATTTCGTGTAGAAGATAATGAAGGCAAGCTACTTGCAAGACGTGTTCAAGTAAGCTGCCACAGATGGTGTTTTGTTTTGTGTGTTCATGCCCCTTGAATCCATAGGTCCCTTTAGTTCTAGCATGGGCGATGTCAATACATAAGAGCCAAGGGCAGACAATTCAACGCGTCAGGATTGATCTCGCTCGTGTCTTCGAGAAGGGTGCGATCAGCTTTAGGTGCTGTTTTTGTTGGACATTAACATGTATTACTCTGAACAGGACAGAGCTACGTCGCATTATCTCGTGCAGCATCACTAGACGGACTGCAAGTCCTTGGTTTTGATCCCAAGAAGGTGTGTTGTCGGTCTTGCAAACTTAAGCTTAAGCCGCGCCCATTCGAAGGCTGTTTCAGGTCAAAGCGCATCCTAAAGTTCTGGAGTGGAGCAAGACGCTGGAGAACTGGTCTGAAGGCGGCGAGCCCGTCTGATTGTGCCATCCTAGCAAGAGAATCGAGTCGACATTTACTTATTGGGTAACTTACCAAGCACTTAGATCAGTACACTACTCGACGATGATAATATGAACTCGTACCATATATCACGTCATCAATGCACTGTAACAGCAGTAAAATATCGCTTTCTTTCTATTGAAAGGCTACGAGAACACAAACTGCACAGCTGTATGCTAAGTAGTACTTGGGTAAGTAAAAAAAAACATAGTTCAGGGCTCGATGAGCAAATGTGATATGTAGTTTGTGTATCGTTGGAAAAGACATCTTCGGCCATGATGAGGATAGTTCAATTTGAATACGTTTGATTGTGAGTCCTCGCAAGTGCCCCATGGCTGAGTTGGTTACAGCGTCCGACTGTTACCGTATTAGGAGGTTTATTCCCACGGTTGGCATCGGAAGGTCGAGAGTTCGAGCCTCTCTGGGGCAGTTATTTTTGTTGCTGACTTGAAACATCAAGTGTCCGGACTCTGGCTGATGGTTTTGATGCTCTTGAAGATAGGCTATGTATGATATATGTTGTATGATGTTACATTGTTTGAGGGAATAGCCAATGTCTTCAGTCTAATTCATGATACTATCATTGCTGTTATAGTCTTGGGGGGGGGGAGGGGTTTCTTTTCACTCTTGCCACATCCTTGTCTGACCCTGTATGATCTAACTTTACCTTTTACTGTTTCACTGATGTGCTCCTCTTCCTATTTCTCTAATATGTCACTTCTTCACCTCCATCTATCTGTTGTCACTCACATCACTGATTCACCTCAGTCTTCATTCCCATCATTCCTGTCTGCTTCAACAGAACTCTGTCTCATATTATTTCCAATACTTCTCTCTATTTCAGATGTAGCTACTGTTGCATTGTACTCTAGTTTTGTCCTCATGTTTCTATGTATACTACATAGGGACATCTACAATAGAACCTAAGTGTTCTTATCTGCTTAACACAGTCTGCACTCTCCAACTTCCCCTGCTAGAGAAGCTTAGCTTTAGTTGGACACAACCCTAGTACAAGTCCTCAGCATAGGCCTTAGTGTTACAAGTTATACAATGCTCAGTCAGCACCAGTTAGAATTCCTGATCCTCAGTTATACAAGGTCCCTTAACAATTGCCCCAGTAATGCAATTGCAACAGTAGTGCAATTACTGAACTTACAGCTGCTCCTCCCCCTCTAGAAATACCAATAAATCATATATGTTACAAAATACAAGTATGATTGCTACTGTGTAGGTTTTGTATAGATGAAAAATATGAGAGTGACTCAAATACCTCATGAGTGTGTTATAAGAACTACATCTCAATCAAGAGTGGCCTCAGCTAGGCGATTACTATGTCCAATTGACACAATAATGTACCATGGCCATGTGAAGAACATACACACCTTTATTCTAATTTCTCCAGAATAATCTGCATAGCAAACCCCTCCTAAATCCTGTGTCAAACAATAGCAACTCAAATCTATGACATTCAGCCACAATTGGCATCGAGAATCTTGACTCAGCTGATGGTAGTGGTGGCATACTTCGCATAGCTTCGCAGTCCAGCCACTGAATGCCGGGCGGACAAAGAGAATGGCATGCGCGGCATTGTGACGGTTGACGTGACGTGCCTCGGAGAAAAGTTGCACTACTGCTGCGAATTTGTTTTGCTCTCGGTATTGTTTAATTCTTGACATACTGAGCCTACGAAATTCATGAGTGTACTTTCGAACATTCTGCATTGACTGGCGAAAACTCCGAAACATTCTGCTAAGATTTGCACTGTAGGGAGCCCAGATACTGCAAAAGTTGCATTACTGGTGCAATGATAGTAGTCATTCTCGGTTTTCGACGCATTGACACACTGGTGAACCATTATTCAAATCGCTTCAAACTTGACAATCCTACTCTACATTGGTCTCGTGCCCAGACGTGTCGCTCTATATCCTCAATTGGCAAACTCAGGTATCTCATGCGGTATGCTCGCTCATTGGCCCGGTGAACATTTTTGAATGGGTTTGAAATTGGATTCTGTCGAAGAACACCTATTCAGTGGCATTCTGCTCTCGGATGTAGGGCCAATGCAACAGAGGACAGCCAAGGCTAAATAGCATTCAACAGATGTTTGATAGCATCTGTTAATTTTAGCTCAATGCTCAAAATATCTGCGTAGGACAGCGCCCGGAGCACCGCAATATCGGTATCGCGCAGAACCATGCCGGAACTGCAGTAAGTGATCTAAAGATGCCATCACTTATTGATCGCTGGATAGCCTATCAGGACTACCGGGTCCTGGCCGAACCGCACCTCTAAAGTTTCAAGGAGTCATCCCGTTGATTGGGCAGGAAGACTCACGTTTGTACATGCCCTCAGTCAATACAGTGTGCGTTATACTTAGCGTCTTGGCATTGACCGGCGCATAGATGGATTCCGCAGAACTTCAAAAGCTGCAGTCCCACGCTCGAGTGAAGACGGCCGTAGTACTACAGCCGCTGGACTCTTCGTCGCGACGCTCGAAAACGCTGGCCGACGTCCCGGGTATCAAGCGGTGCAAGGAAACCAACAGGCACTCCCGAGTCCTGGGCAGCTTTTGACCGAAAGTTCGCGCTTTATGACGGGCAGTTCGGAGGTCTTCCTATAAGTAGATCGTTACTAATCGCCTAGTAGACGCCAGTGACAGCCGGCAGATATTCCGCTGGGACTGAATACCCGATCGAAACCTGACGAATATAAGAAGGGCCTCCCGCATCACGGTCCTTCAGCTCCCGCAGGTCCTCGAGCCCATTCATCGAGTCTAGGTACTGGTTGGTGAGTGTTCATGCGACTTCGTGTAGACGAAGTCAGGCTAACCTTCCTGTAGCCTGGCCCTTCGCACTTTACAGCCTCATAATCGAGTCCTAATCCTTCGTTTCTCATACCTCACGACTATTGCCAAGAAACCCACAATGCGTACATCAATTGTCGCCGCTTCTATCATTGCCGCTGTTGCCGCCTCGGCGGGGGGGGGGGG